TTTAGCCTTGCTGTGGCCTTTAAAAGGCGCGTTTAAGCTGTGATATATATATATATATACTATATACTATATACTATATATATATATATATATATAGTTGTACATTTACACGCACCGTCCCGGGTGGAGATCTCTCCCCCCTGAGCTTTCAGGTCTTCATTTGCACAGTCTTGACTTTTGTGAGTGTTCTGGGCCACGTCCTTATCCTGGTTTCTTCCTTTTGATGATCGAGGCAGAAGCTGTTTAGGAAGCTAAGAGAGAAGACTGCCATGTGTGGCCCTCAGCTGCAGGAATGGTATCATTGGGAGTCTCTCTCGTACTAGATTTTGACCTCAATTTCATGAGGGTTTGCCAACAATTATTAGATGATCAGATTCATGAGTTTGCTCTGGGGGGTGTTAAGTCTTGTCTTGTCCTTTCAGCTCCTCATGTTGGGATGATGGTCAGCTTCGCTGCAGAGAGGTCGACTGGTTGGTGTCCAAAGACTTGTTTTGTTGGCATGATGTTGCAGTGGGCATGCTGCAAGGAGTGGGGGTGACACTGGACCATACTGGACCATGCTTAGAATATCTTCCAATACTTTGGACATCCCATGTGTTCCGGACAAGTCGTGGTGGGATCAATACTCTTCGTTGTGCGGCTTGTCAACCAAATGTCGACCAATCATGGAAGAGGAACATCAGATGGACGAGTTTTGTTGAGACAGTTTGATTCTTGTGTCAGAAGACTGGACTTTAAAGGCTCTTATGGCCAATTCAGAATCCATGACAGGCTTTCCTATGGCTCAGACATGGGCCCCCTCATGAGCAGCTTGCCCTGGTTCCGTTGCTCAGGGTGCTGACCAGTGATGAACTGACCATGGTCCAGGCACGTAGCAAACCATGCAGTAAGAAATGTTCCTTCAGAATCCCAGACCCTGCAATAGCACCTGGGCACACATGGGCAAAGTTTCTCATGGTCCTGAATGCAGCCGGGGTGGGGTACTTATGCTTGGTTTTGCATGGCTTTGCTACCTTTATAATACATTATATATGGTCTCATAGAGTCATCCGGTCATTTCCGCCCTGATGTGGTTTCCCATTCCTGGCCTCGTAATATCTCGTAATATAAAGAGTGTGCGAGTGTGTTCATTCTGGGCTCCCACTAACCTTATCAGGGAGGGACTGAGCAGCAGAGGAGCGGGTTCCCAACTCGAAGAAGGCCTAGAGTCTAGAGGGATTGTAACGAACAAAAAGCGCTGGGTCACGCCCTTTCCATGCGGTGGTCTCTTGGCTGTTTTAGAAGGATGGCCTGAGATATGGTTTGGGTGGATACATGAATACACCTGCGTAGACCAAACATCGAGCGCCATGTCACCATCGGACGCCCCAAACCGTCACCTACGTTCGTCGCCATGAACGTCCAACTTCGGGAGCATGTTGTGCAACAGACTGGGCTTGTTGAACGGCTCAGTCTGCAGGAAGCTCTGGAGGATGACCACTTCTTCAAGTGCGACCTGGAGTTGGAGGATGGGAAGATCAGCGAAGGAATGAAGGCCCGCCCCGCCCGCGGTTGGACCCGATCCGCCCAGGGCGGAGGCGTGAAGTTTGCCGGTGCGAGGTGTTGGGGGAATGCTGAGAAGAACGAGCTGGGAAGATGCCAACTGGTTTCAGTACACTTAGAGTAGGTGGGTGAAGCATGTCTGTTAGTTGCAAGGATGTCGCCCCACTATGGGGTCAGCAAGTGCTACTGAGTCAAACACCTAGTGCGTGGAAGAGCATCGGCTAGCAATTCGCACTGAGTCAAACACCCATCAGCGTTCTCACCACTGTCAAGAACCAGTAGATGTAGATAAGCTTAAATGCTGCAAGGTTTGCTCTCTCTCTCTCTATATCTGAGCGATGTCCTTTACTAGAGCCAGACGATCCAACGCAATCCTCCAAAGAAGCAGAAAACCACAGAACACCACAGATTCAAATGAGTCTTAGCAAGAGTCTTCGATGTTTTGAACTTATATCAGTGCTTCGCTACCGTTATCAGTGAAGACTTCAAGTTTCCCCTTTTCCCTTTGTCATTTTCACCACCCAAACTGATTTCCCTCTACCCAAAGGAGACATTTGACAATACAAAATATGTAATTATACTAGGGGCAGATGACAGGAAAGGTGGTGATTTGGAGGTCGTTGCACAACTCACAATGTCATTTGTACCTAGTGAATCCTCATTTCGCCGAGCTGCTCCCGACGAACGGAACCGCCGAGCCGGACGAAGCACAGTTCCGCAGCGACCGCGTGACCATGTCGAGGTCTTAAACCCACGATCCGTGCAGCGCTCAGTGAAAACCATCAGCGTCCACTGCGTGAGCGAAAGTGCAATCTTAAAGGATGAAAAAGGCTGAAACCAGGATCAGTTCTTCCCGTTCACACGAACTCTTCATGAATTTTGGCAGGAGATTCAAGAAGGAAAGCTGCCCTTCACCCTACGCTTCTACCAGAGCTCCAGGCATTGCTTCAATCACCGGAGTGGGGCGGGCGGCGGCACGTGGCGGGCGGCGGATGTTTGGCTCTTGGTTCGATGAGTGAAGCAGACGCAATGAGACGCCACATGCCACATGTGTGGTTGAAATACTAGCTAGAGTAATAGCCCTTCAAGAACGTGATGCAACGGGAGTGACGTCAACAAGCCATTTACCTTGTGTGCTCCAAAGATACTCCAAGATAAGTGCATTTTTTACATCCAGCTGCAGCTTTCAACACAGAGGGTGATATTATTAGTGGCCCATTACCAGTAACAGTCCGTAAAAGAGTATCCCTATACTTTCTGAGAAAGGCCTCTACGAATAATAATTTATCATCATCATCATCATCATCATCATCATCATCATCATCCACTATTACTGGTAATCGGATACCCAATATCATCATATCATCAAAAGCTTTCCGTGGAAACACAAAAAGGCCGAGCAACAACCCAAGAATGTAAACCCTCAGACGTGGAACTTGTTTGAGATATTTGGAGGGAACAGACCAGTGAACAGACCTCAAGATCAAGGAAGTGACCCTCGACCCCAGCTGATCTGCAAGAATATCTGAGGCTTGGAATCAAACCAATGTATAGGATATGTATAGGATAGATACCTTTAGTAGGGTCATAGTATAGTCTCCAAAGGTCCGGAAAAAAGCATAGATAGTCAGTTGGTGACCTTTGGAAGGTTCTGCAGATGCTTTTGAGTGGTCAGTTGGTGAGTTTTTGCCCTCCCTCCTCCCACCAGGCCTGCTTGGATGAAGTCCACGCACGTGTCCCACTGGCGAAGTCCTCGGACGCAGGTGTCGCAGGTGTCGGGTCGGAGCGTTGTCCCGGTCTTGCGTAGCGAGTCGCGAGTTGGGTTCTCGTTGGACATCCTGGGGGTCTGGGTTCCATTTGGTCTAGATGTGTTGGAACGTTTTCGACGTTTCCAGAGTCCACCTCGTGAATGGGTGTCTGGATTTCTGGTAATGGTGTAAGATCATTCTGGTCCTTGAATCCCTAACTGATTGGCTTCAATGTGTTGTCAGCATGCTGGGCCACAGGTTTTCCATGTGCTGGGACTCTCGTCCATCCTGATGGAAGACAGGCACTGGCAGCACCCGAGAGGGTGTTAATAACTACAATTACTGTATATTCAATTAAATGTACTACACATATGCACATACAGCGCGGCGCAACAGGACTCCTTTGGTGGCTTTTGGTCACATATTTACGTGCAGGTGACCCGTTGGAGGCTGCTGATTCACATAAAATTTGTCTAGTGTGACATGCTGGGGTGTTGCCTGGGGTGCAGGATCGTTCTTCCATCGCCCCACAAGTTCGGAGACTGCACACGCCCCCGCTTGATTCGGCCCAGGCTTCGTACGATGGACCTGATCCGTGCCATTATTCTCCGAGCCCAAGGCAACCGCGAGCGACACCAGCGGCACCAGCGGGAGCGACTTCTTTGGGCCATTGGGTGAGGCTCCTGGGACGGACACAGTGCCCCTTCGCTTTCTCCCAAGACCAACTCTTGTCCAGTTCGCAGGGAGCAGGTGATCGACGTAGTGATCTGACAAAGTACCAACAAGGGTGCACAGGTTTTAAAACGTGGCCACTTCTTCATCCGCCCAACCATCCACTGGTGACCAAAGCACCAGCTAGACCAAATGACTGTACATTCCCATACATTCCCATTCAGCACGCACCATAGCAACCGCGATGCCCGCCAATTCACAGCAGCCACGTCGCTACACTCCCCACCGTTGTGAACGGCCGGTCCGTGCCAGGTCCGGTCCTTTTTTGGGGTTGGTCCACGCTGACGGTGTCAGCTTTGGCGAGCCTCTTCTCTCAGATGTGGTGCCGGGCCTCGGTGTCAGTGACTTTTCGTCATGGACCGGAGACTCCTCCGTCTCCGTCTGAGAGAGCTGGACCACTGCATGGCCACCCCAAAACTACAGTGGTTTCAGAGTAGATGGCACAAACCCCAACAGTGTAACAGGTTGTTTTTATGGACCCCCATCTACAAGACATGTAGGGGGTTGTGCCATCTACTCCTATGTACTGTATGGACTTTGCTGAGATCACCGGCCCCCAGCCGGATCTAGCACACGTCTCTTTTTGGTCGAAGAGGGTTCGAGAGGGTCCGGTCACCCACGATGCCAAAGTATTGATAAGTATTGACAACGACGCGTTTCGACTTGCGCCAGGACATGCCAGGACCATCAAGCGCCAATAGACCCGCTTTTGTTGGGTGCCATTTGGTTTGGAGGTGAAGTTGCCCTATACCTTTGACTTTGGCTTCATTGATCGTTTTGAAGAGGAACAGACTGCCGAACGCGGGCCGATCACACATCCTCGTGTCACAGGGTCACGCACGACGTGAGTCCAGGGTTTTGAACGTTCATGAATTCTATAGGGCCTATAGGGCATGTTGTTTCTGTTCTTGTGGCACTACTGTAGTGGGTTTGAGAGGTCCAACCAACACCTGAGCGAAGAGACCACTGCATGTGCACGAGAAGAGACCACACCGCGGTGACCGCTCAACCTGAGCGAGTTCTCGAGGTCGCGAAAGGAGATTGCCATGTATCGCACCTGTTTGGAAAGGCCTGCGGGGGGCTTTCTTTTCTTCCCTTTGGCACAGAGGGCTCAGGTAGGTCCCTGGAATGGTCCCTGGACTTGAAATGAAAGCATCATCTTGCAATATCTTGCATAACTAGGCATCGCGTGTTCAAGAACCTAGGCAAGTGCAAACTGGACATGAACAAATAATGAACGCAAAAGGTCTTGGTTGGGGTTGCCCAAAAGTGATGATGGCGAAAATTGCACCTGAACTGCACGTGGGGGTCGATGATTTGTGCACCGATGGCCGTCACGGGGCTCAATGCCACAGGTTTGTGGTGGTGCCCAGCTGGACGGCTCTGGCTTGGCGTGGAGCCCAGATTCGTGCCCAGCTGGTTCGTCCCTGCAAGAGATGTGGAAAGCCTCATGGTTTCTGGAGGAAAGTCCATGGGTTTCTTCCAAGGAGCCGGTGTTCCGTTCCGTGAGTGTCGGATCGTGTTGGAGGGAGGATATGATGAACTCGGTCCATGTCCTTGGGTATGGGTTGCCAGATGGTCATAAGAATGTTAGGAATGCTAAACTTAAACATTCCCAAAGTTCCAAACATAATATGACATTCTTATGAGTACATGGAGAACAATGCACCTGGAGTTTTCTCCTAATAAGGTTGTGCTTTTGGAGGAATTTGGACGTTAAGGAGGCCCACCAATCCGCATCTATAATACAATGCCTGGTGAATACAGCCCGCCACAAGTCCTGGCTCAGATGACAAAGGCCATGTTTGGCAAAGCCTCCGAGAAATCATTCAGACAACTCAGTGATCACCATTTGGGGAATTGAGCTGTTCGAGTCGTTTGCGGGTGCTATACCCGCCCCCTGTCCGATTTCTTCACTGGTTCGGTTTGCTCGCTGGCTTAGCTTGAGGTTTCTGCACCGCCTGGTGCGATTGCCGGGCACCACAGGGATTGATTGGCCTTTGTGGCCGTGCAGAGAGCGGCTGATGCAGAGATGGAGTGCGATCTTGCGTTTTTTTGGAGTTGCCTCAAGGGAAGAATGCCCTCACAAAAACTCTTCTCCCGAAACATGAAGAAGCAAATGGCAATCCCATGGCATAACAGCGCAAAATTAAGAAGGAAAGCCGTGGAGAGTGGAGGTATGATGAGGTGTGCCCACATCAATGACAGAATTATTGTTATTGTGTATTATTGCCAATCTCATGGTTTGCGGTGGCGCGAAGGATTTCCCAATCTGCAAACTGTTCACCCCAGATGAATCAATCGGATGGTTGGCAACAACCAGAAGAACTCTTTCTGTTGAAGGGAGTGGCAAGGATATCTCCTGTTCTTGGCATTTCCGTGGAAAACAATCCATCCAACCCTTTGCTCCACCTCGCCAGTCGCTCCACCCGCCCAGGTGGGGTCAGCGCGTGTCGCGCGGCCGGGCGGAGATCAGCGACGTCATGGGCATGCAGCTGTGGACCCAGCGGGTGGCAACCGGTGACCCCGCAGACTCCGAGAAACACCGTGATTTCAGCGTCCAAGGGTCAAAAGCCAGGGCTTTGTCACATGATTTCTTTGTTTTCTTCCGACTGAAGGTTCGGGAAGAAATGGTTGTTCTGTTAAAATCTGTAAACCTAATATCATCTAATATCTATATATATATATATGTATATTATCTATGTATTTTTATATCGACGTGACGTTAGGCTCTGACACGTTTTAAGACCAAAACCTGGATGGCCACGAAAAAGGTTGTTGCTTTAGGAGCGCCACGAGCCTGGTGTCCAAAGAGTCGAAAGATGTTTTCTTCACTCAGGAGAAAAAGAGCTGACCCCAAGGCTCACCGCTCTGAGTCGTCATACACACACAGACATACTGTATATATACATAATACAATACATAATATAATCTATTATATATATATAGTAATATAATATATATATATATATGCGCCTACTTAATCTTACATTGCTCGGTGAGGATCTTCTGCTATTTTGTCCTTTGTTTGTTCTATTTGGTTTAGATTTGGTATAGCTTTGGTGGCGGAGCTCTCCAGATGTCGACCTTATTGCATTGGAGCAGGGCGACTACCGATGATCACGTGAGGCCCACCAATGGTGGGAGTCCCTTTCCGCCGAGGTCCAGCTTGAGGGAGGCCCGAATCAATGCCCTGCAGACCTTGATGAAGGCAGTGAATTCTTGAGAGTGATGAGGTCGGCCACTCTTATGCACAGAACATGAGCTAGACCTCTTGCCTGCAGAACCAGCTTGGCGCCTACCCCAGGCTCTTCGGCGGTATGTTGAGGAACTACCATCATTCGCCATGTACACACCCCATCCACTATAGAGGTAATGATTTGCCACTGAAACTTACCAAGAGAGACATGCATATATACAGATACATGCCCTTACAACATGAAAATACCAAGGGCTTGACTTAACTTTCCCTGTACTGCGCGAGGCCATTGTTTGGGCCTCCTATCTATTTGCAGTGTCGCGCCCTCATGTCCAGTGAATGAAGATACACAATGCATTGTGAGGTATGCTCGAAGATGCATGTGCCCAAATACCACAAGACAAGACAGTGAATTGGCAAATGAGAAAACACAATATATTACAGTATGCATATTGGGCCAGTGCCGCAGCGCTATGTTCCCTTCTTTTATTGTTGCAGTCATATAGGGGAACCTTTTTGTGTAGCATTTGAGTCAGGTTCTGGCACGCTGGTGTGCGAATCAGCCAGCTTCTCCTGCCACAGCCTCAGCAAATTGCGGCTTTGCTGTGCGAGTCAAGTTCAACCAAGACAAGCACAGGAGAAAAGTGCGGGCTTGGGTGCCTGAACCCGCCCAAAAAACAAAGCACTTCACGGGCTATCCAGACAATCCGGGATCTTGTCCTGTGTCCCCAGGATCCCGGGAACAACGGCTGTGGTCATCGGTGCGGCACTTAGTGGACTGCTCCGTGAATCAACTTTAAGGTAATTTTAGGTGAACAAGGTGGGTTCAGAATGGATGGTGCAAAGCCGGGCGGTTGTTTGGGGGTCTTGGATCAAAGATGCGCTTCAACTGAGTTGGTGGGATCTACCCTGTTCACATGTTTGTATTCACTCTGGACTGCCCGAGGTTGGGTTGGCCGCGAAATTGCTGCCAACATGTTGCGGTCCCAGGGCCACTGCTTCAGGAGGTCAAGTGCAGAAATCCACACAGCTTGGGGTGTCAGCAGCCGGCAGCAGCTGGCTCCAGGTCGCCAAGTGAATAATGTTGATCATGTTCAGTGCACAAAAAGCCTCAGAGGAGTTGTAGCGTCCTGGCTCCCCATCAGGATCTAGGTTGACTAGAGAATTGACGCCGGTGTGCTTGGGATGCGTGCAAAGCGGCACGGCGAAGCATTGCGTCGCGCCTGGTCTTCAGCTGATCGATCGCTGCACTGAGGATCAGTGGTGTGGTTTTGCACCTGACGCAGCCCTTTGCTCAAGGCGGCCGATCGTGGACCACCCAACCGATGACGTCAACCAATCCAATTGGTGCATGGATCGGTTCACAGGAGCTGACCGTCAAAAGAACTTCGCAGACGACAGCAGTGTCGGAATGACCGGCTGAAAGGCGGAAAGACCAGAAACCCAATTGAGCCATTCGATAAACCTCCGTCTTCATGTTTAATCAGTGTGTTGTCATATCGAAGAAGTGCGTAAGCAAAACCTGCACGTGCGTAAGGTTGCGTAAGCTTTTTGTAAGGAAACCTTTTGCGTAAACCATGCGTAAGCTTTGAATAAATACACGATAAATACATGAGCAACCCCTCTCAGAAGTGCTAGGACTAAGGAACAGTCCAACTCCACACATACATACACAATCCAAACTCGAATTGCTGAACACACACAGTCCAAACACCACAGCTGAACAGTCAAACCTCCATGACAGACATGAGAAACACCAGGTGATTTTTGTGAGTTCCGGCGCGTAAGCTCCGCGTAAGCTCCTGTGTCCTTTTCCACCAGTAGCCCACATGCCTCCTTCTCCGAAACCGTTGCGTCAGCGGCAGCGTGTGGTTGAAGACCTCTATATACAATGTGGTTTGCGCGCATCGCCCTTCCACTTCCACTTCTCCATTTCCTGCTGCTGCTGCTGCAGGTCTGCTGCTGCTACTGCTGCTGGTGCTGCTGCTGCTTGCTTGCTTCTGCCTTCGAGCCTTCTTCTTCGTCCTCATCCTCAAATGCTTCTTCAGCATCCATATCCGAAGATTAGATGTAGTAACGTAGTAAATGTCCATTGTACAAAGTATGCAGCGCGTAAGCTCGCGTTGTGGTGTCAGCTGCATTTCGTGCAAAACAGGCGTCGCGTAAGGTCTGCGTAAGCCCTTCTTGCTCCAAGTGTACCGCGTAAGCAAACATGTGAGTCGCGTAAGGCAGCGTAAGCACAAGCGTAAGCCCAATGATACGGCATGGGATTTCATCAAGGTTTTCAGAAACGCTCAATTGGCATATGTGCTTCCAAAGAAAAGAACACCAGCCTCCCTCCAATGTCCAATGCCATCGCGGAGAATATGGGGCCCCGACTGCCAGGCGACTGGATTTCGCTGAATGGTGAAGACATTGCCCGGCTGGCCCAGGTAGTGCGTGTGGTTTCTTATGTGTCCTTGAAGTACTTGGATGCGACCTCGAATCCGAATGATAAATTGGCTCACGGGACCTACATGTTGGAGATGATGCAGACTGGAAACACAGCCATCTTCTTCAACCCCCGCCTCATGTCATGTGAGCCACTGTCTATTGACAATTGAAGCATACAAACCATTGCTCACCTCCTTTGCAGGCGTCGAATGTGCGAGGCATCGAACGGCACCGCCCACCTCGTTCCAAAGCGGCGATCGGATGCGCTGTGTGTCCCAGGATGGCTGGGTGCAGGATGTGGGAACCTTCTACACCAAGGCCGGTCGAGGATGGGAGGTGGAACCGCCGAGGAGCCGGATGGAAGATCCCGGTGGGCATGCGCTTGAACCGGTGTCAACCGAAGGTGGACCAGTGTTGACCCACGTTAGCCCTAGTCAACCCAGTAGCTGAAGTTCACGACAAGCGGTAGTGCCATGCCAGGCCTCAAGATTGAAGAGAATCATGTTGATCCACGCAGACGTTCGCCCAGACGTTCGACCTTCCTCTGACGGTTGATTGATTTGCGGGATCAGAGGGTATGAGAGGAATTGGTTTATTTGGAAAGAGCGGTGGGATGGATTCCCTGAGCAGGTTTAAACGTGAAGGTGATGGCTCGGATTAAATCGAGAATCCATCCAGGATTTGAGATCATGTGGACGGTGGAAGCGTCACATTGTACATATTTCAGGGTCATCGGATCAAGACGTCTCGTTCGGCTTTGCCTGGCTTCACGGCGTTGCCGCAGGTGGTTCAGTGGGATAAACGACCCATCTATGTGCCAAATGCAAAGCTGATGTCAGAAGCCTACGGAATATTTGAGACTTCGTGATGACTCCATAAGTGAAGGAGAGCAGAACTCGAGTGCTGCAACTGAATTCATCAGACATGCGAACATGCCTGACAGTCAACCAAATACACCGTAAATGGTACTGGCTGCCCCTCAAACCAGCTTCCAATGGACTCTTGCTAAGGTCCCTGAATGTTCAGAACAACTCACGGATGACGCACCGGCGCATCAAGTATGATTTGAGACTTAGGCAGCCGAGGGGTGACGGGAGCATGTTGGGTCAGGTGTGAGGCTGGTCACTTTAGGCAAGGCAGGCAGTACACTCCACTGAGTTCCTTTAAGCACTTGTCGTGAATCTTAAGACTAAAAATTGCCGATGAACCATATTGAAAATCCTTGAAACAACTACAATTCCTGCCTGGTCAAGCCGGGAAACTCTAATTCCTCTCGAGCCGGGTTGATCTTCTTCGAACCTCAGAGACATGCACAAGGGGTGGGAAACCTCACATTGGAGCAGCCTTGCCTCAGGCTGCAGCACCTTTAGATCTTTTGGCCTGTTTGGAAGAGCATTCAAGATATTCAAGCATCCAATGGGTGCATGTGGGATGGGAGACGCACCTCGTGAGGCTGCAGGACATTCCAAAGATTCCCACCATTGTGCGAGACATCCAGGACGGAGATGCGCTTCGAATCAGGAAATTTTCCTGAGCCTCTCGGCTCACCAAGGAAAGTATCAACAGACAATGAAAGCAATGCAAGTGATGCTGGTTGGTTGAAGTAGCTTCATTAGCACTTTCTTGAGTAAACCTGGTTGGAACAAGTCCGGACTAGACAATTGGGTCAGTTGGCGACAAGGCTCCTTTATAGAACTTGTTTTGCTCGACCTAATTTATACGTGGATGCTCCATCATTTGCATCTAGCTTCAGCCATGAGAAGTTCCACAAGATGTATGATGCTTTGGGGCACATGTTCCATCATCCTCATGCTCCAGCTATTCCAATAGTCCACACATAGTGCCACACATAGACGACTGCAGCCCGCACACTGCAGCGCGGCGGTTTGTGGGGAACGAAGGAGATGATCAACGAACACGAGGACATTGACAATGTCCAGCCGCTGAAGCCAAGAAAAGGGTATGACTGAGACGGAGTGCACAGGTGCTTCGCTAGATTTCTTGATGGGTGCGCACAAAAATGGTTTTACGTATGTTTGTTTGTAATTTTACAAGCTTACAAGCTTATATATATGTGCATGGTTGGATATATGTACGCTCCAGTGTTTGCTCGTGTATGATCGTGTATGTCTATATTTTACTCACAATCAGCAATAATAATAACATATTTTTCTTACACGCTTCCCGAAAGTAGTATTTTCTTCTACACAGTTGTTCTTGTTTGTGGCTCTTGCATGATTTGTATGAGCATTCCCCAGTCGTGGCTGACATGCATTCGCCCAGTGGGCAATGTTAAGGGGACCAAGGAACATCCAGCATGAGCAGCCATGTTGCTATGCTATTTCAGTCACCTAAGGCATTGCTTTAACAGCCAAACAGATTAAACCAAGAAAACATGCTGACGTCGGCGGAGGAAAGGAGATTGTCCCCCCTTCATCCTCTTTTGTTTGTCCATGTCTTATGCACACCCTAGAGGAGTTCTTGTTCAGGTGTTGCTTGAATCCGCTTTTAGCGGCTCCTAAGACCACAGCTCAGTTCGGTGGATGTCCATTGACCGAGGCACCGGCTGGTGCGCTGGCGAGCCGTGGGAGAGTTCTCAGTCGCTCGGAGCGGTCCGTGGCTCCCGCAAACCCCATTCAGCCCATTGAGTTACTGAAGTTACTGGAGATAAATCGTAAGGATTTTTTGCCTCCTAAGGCCAACTCAACCCAGCTTCCTGAGAAAGGATCTGTTGGATCCAAACAGATCTCAAATCATCCAAATGATTGCTCTCCCCACGGACCTCGGACTTGGAGGTTTTGGAGGTCCAACGAATCACAAATTCAATTTCAGAAACTGAGAGGGAATTTCTACCAGAAAAGATCATGATCGACTTGTTTTGGTGTTTGATTAGAAGATATCCGAAATCACGTGCTGAACGCAGACTCTTCAGAGACCCTCATCGGGGGCCACACGCCTATGGTCGCCAAGGCGGATGTTTGGCTCTCTTGCTATACCAAACCGAGCATCGAGGTTGGAAGTGACAAGCATCGAGGTTATTTGTGTTTTTTGTCGGGTGTGGGTGGGTGCTGAACACAGAAACAGGGGGGCCGTGGAGTCAGAAAGTAAACAGAAATCAACAGTTGCAGTCCAAGAACCTGTGTTGGTCAATGGCGCATGTCGCTCAAACAAGAGTGAATCTGAGTGAAGAGTTCTTTTGCATTCAACGCCGTTCTTTGTTGCCCTCAACAATTCATTGTGTTATATTGTGTTCGTTCATGTGTCGGTTTATCGTTAGATCTATTCTAGCTGGTACGAGTAGCAGGCTTTGGGTCAGCCTCCCGGTTTTGACTTTCACTCCTGCAGGGCATCCGCTTGAAGTCCTACACGGCCACCCAGCAATCAGCTGCGAGCTAAGAAGGGCTTCGCAGTGGGCGCGGGAAGTTGGTGCGAGTAAAAAGCAGAATCAATTAACAGACATAAATGTTGGTTTTGTTGATAGCGTTGACAGGATGATTGTTGTTCCTGTGGGTGACACCTCGGGTGGGAAACATATCCTTCAAGCAAACATCCAAGATGTGCTGAGCCTGACGATGATCCTAATAGGTGGCAAGAATGGGAACTTCTTGGTGATGCAGGAAGACTTGCGCAATCTTGCGCATCAAGGGTTCGCCAGCTGGTCATGCCCAAGACCTGTCCCCATAGGAAGGCTGAGACTAGGATGGACAAAAGAGACAAAAGATGTGTGGTATTGTATGGTCCTGAACATGCCTATGAATCCCCTGATCTCAGTGTTTTGAGTGGGATTTGCCCAGGATTTGTTGCTGTTCCTTCTTTCCCTTACTACTTACGACTCACGACTTGGTGAGAAGCCGCATTCGTTCAGGTCCTCGAGCGCTGCTCGCAGATCGTGTACAAGCCGCGCGGACTGTGACGTTGATTTGACGGTGAGCGCCAGGAAGCGAAATTGAAGCGGCCACAGCATAGCACGTGGAATCACCATGAATCACCGTGAAATTGCTCCTCTAGGGGCCCACCCATGGAGGAGCAGCAAAGCACAAGATATATATATATATATATAATGATATGTTATGATATATAATGTATATATTTAATATATATATATATATTGCCGTATATTGTATATACCAGTACCCCAAGAGAGTTCATTCGTTCAGGGTTGTTGGGCCCTAAGGGGTCTCAATTGGAGAGCAGCTGGAGTGCCCTGGTGTATTTGCGTATACCGTATATATATTTAATTATCTTTACATATCACGAAAGGTAGCTTGAGCTACCTGAGTTCTCCTTGCTTTAGCAAAAATGTATTACAATCAGGAGTTGGGATTGTGCATTGGGTCCTGTAAGAGTTGATTCTGTTCGTCGGGGGGGGGGGGGCCCCCCCCCCCCCTGGATCAAATCCCCCCTGCGCCGGTTCACGCCGTCGTGGACTTCTACCAGGGTTACTTGTGATTGCCTGCTACCTTTCGTTCACCCCCTCCTCTCTCAAGTCTTTATATATATATATACACAAGTATGTGTGTCGTTGTGCGTCCATCTTTCCATAGGCACCAGATAAAGACACAACAGTATCGTGCCCGGGTAGGAGGCACCAATATTATGGATGTTTCATGGCTTCCAACCATGTGGGGGTAGCCGCTGGCCCTCGGGACCGCGGGATGTTCCCAAGTCAGGCATGATGCGGCCTTCGCATCATCCAATGACCGTGACCCAGCGACGGTGGCAGGCATTGTTTTGTTTGTGCGTGTTCCGTTGATTTCTGAGATCCACCATCGTAGTTAATAGTCATATCATGTCATATCTTACTAGTACGGGCAAAGATCCATCGGAAGCCCGCTCAAACGCAAATCCACATGCCCTGGCCGAAGCTCGCCAAGAAACAGTGGACATGCTGCGATTCTGGGCAGTGCGCTCGCAAGAAAGTTGGACACTGTGCCGTTACAAAGGTTCTCTGACTTGACCTTGTGCTACTAGAGCGCGAGCCCCAAATCGCTCTTGAATTCGGTCCCAGCCATGCAGGTACCCAGTACCCTGCTGGGCAGAAGCCTGAGGGTATCGGCCAGCTCTTTAAGGCATGTAAGACTTGGGATGACATGGGCATAAGAGGTTGGTCGACCAGGACTCAGCAAAACGATAATGACGTGGATTGAAAGTTTATGGATGTGAGGATTGGAGAAGGAACTGTATAGCCCGTCAAGAATGAAGATTGATGCTGGCAACCGATTTTTTGTGGACATGAATGCGGTTCTGAAACAGTTTCAGCAATCAAATCAGGTTGGTGGTTTTGATTTGGCTCCTTCCCCCACTCTTTAGGCCAAGTCGTGTCGACCCACACCGAGAGGAGGGCGCTGCCCTGTCAATACCAAGCGCCTCCTCCCACTGTGCAAATGGGTGTTTTACCCTGTTGTAGCCCAGGCCATTATGTTCTTTTCACCTTGAACAGATGTCAAGGAGGGAAACCTGTGTTTCTTTTTTCCTGGGAAAGCACTACCAAAACTTACGTGCGAGTCATAAGGGGCAGACACCGTTTTTTCGATGTTGCTCTTATGTCCGGCACCCCATGTGCAATGCCAGGACACCTTCAACACGGCCCGTGAGTCACAGCTGGAATCACGCGAAGAGGCCGATTGTGAGGGACTGGATCCCAACGGATTCGATTTCTGCGTCGGAACGTGAGTCTGAGTGGTGTGTCAGTGTTGCTGTTTCCGAATTTGACATGGTCAAGTAGATTGACTTTTGTTGCTTTTGTCAACGTTTGTTTGTCGTCTCTTTTTTCTTGGGAACCCTAGCTAGCGTGCCAATAGCTTCATAGAGAGAGAGGGCGGCCAGAGGACCAGAGGAGGTTATTCTAGGGTCCTGTAGAGCAAATTCATCTTCCAAGCCTGCGTGCAAAGTCAAGGTGCCGTTCTATTGATGATTGTACCATTTTCTCACAGCTAGGGCGGGCTTTGTGAGGTACTCCGGCAAAGGGAAAAAGATATCAAGGAGTGTGGAGCTCAGCATTGGAGACCGTTCGGAAAGGAAAGGCATGGAAAGGCAGAAAGGACACTTCAATGACAGAATTATATGGACAAAACACATGCATCAAACATGTTTTCAACAGTCATGTTTAATTGGCAGGACCATTTTCTCAGATCCTAGTGCAAGCAACTCTGGGGAACATCTCACCCACCGAGTTTCCTGGGTTCCGAACGGATGAGGAACCGAAATGGTTTGCCGGGACTGGTCTCAGGTGTTGTTTCTGAGTGCTTATGTTGGGCCGTCATGACCATACATGGGGGCATACCCCAACAAGAATGACTTCACTACCTGATCAGATGGATCATTGGCGTAAGGCTTGCATGGAACGATTGGTCACTTGTCCAGCCGCATCCACTCAGGGTGGAGCGAGAGTTGGAGCAGAAGGGTGAGGAGACCAGTCGCGGAGCGGGTGGCACTGCACCTAGGGCGGAGACCTTTTGTGAGCTAGGCCATGAGAGGATGATGAAAGGAGGGCCCTGGACGCTGGGATGGTGTGTCTAACTTGAACGGCTTGAACGCGAGCAGAATGCATCCGACTGCACGGATGGAAGCCGATGGCAGCATCCCATACAACAATTCTCCAGTTGGCAGAATGTTGTCCATCCATCCGGTCAACATACTGTACCATATCAACAGCCACAAGTTAAAAACAGATAGGGTCAGAAGTGTTTTGAATGAGCTTGATTTACTTCAACATCCTCCAGCCGACCACAGGAGCAAGCCAAAATCGAGAAAGACATCGCCTCCAAGAGGGAGCTGCTGGCGAAGGAGATGATGGAGATGCAAGCTATGGAGAAGAACAAGAAAGAGGCTGCCGGCCGAACGGAGCTGCTTCGGATCTCCCAAGGTGGCCTGTTTCCGTGCAAGGACACTCCACGTGCAGTCCTTGGAACCCATGCTCTGAGATGCTCTAACTGTTTTTCTCAACCCATGGCATCGTTGATTGATCCAGGACAGATGAGAGAGAAAAACTAATATGAAAAAAAACTCATTAGCATCAAAGAAACACCAAGTGGAACGCCGAGCTTTTCGGCGGCTGTGGAGGCAGAAAAGCCTCCGGCCGACGTAGCTGCGGAGGAGGACATGGTCTCCACAAGGACGGGAGCCGCCGAGTGAGACCGGCACAAGGAGGGATGACCACTTCTCCGGTACAGGGAAAGCTTCATGTTTATATTAATACCTATATACATTTTGTTGAGAGGATCGTGGAGGCGGAGGATGTGATGTGGCTGTGGATGGTGGTTTCTTCTCCTCGCATGATTGGCGCAGGATGGGTGTTTTTGGTCGGTGGATGTTACATGTACATTCATGTTTCTAGAGGAGATGGGTGGCTCCACACCCCGTTCCACCCGTGCTGACACGAAGGGGCCTGCAGACACTGGATGAAGTGAGGCTTGAAGGATCTCTCTGGCACCACCTGGAACAGCACCCCAGCTAAGAGAATACTTCAATACCAAGACCCCTGTGATGTTTGCGTCTTAAAGGATGGTTTGGACAAGGTTCAAGAGGTCCACCCTGTGGACCCTGTGTTCAACAAAGACCTGACAAGAATCCACATCTTATATAGCTCTGTGACCGCCGCCCCCCCTTGCTACAAAACATCTTTGGATCCCAAGACTTGAAGATACTATATACCAAGAAAGCAGCACCTCACGAAAGGGCATGTGTTTTTCCTATATATATCTAATGATATATCACCTAATATCACCTAATTATATGTCCTTTGTGCTCTTTTTGTTTGGTACTTTGTGATGAGTGACGTGTTCCCTTTCTTGTCCAGTCCCCCCCCCCGCGAGGCCCCCGTCCAGTCCGGAGAAGCAGACCGTGGACACCGAGCAGGAAGAGGCGGGAGGGAGCCCCCGGGAGGTTCCGGACGTTGAGCTGTAGCTCTGAGCTACCCAGGGGGTGTAGCTCTGAGCTACCAGGTTTGGAAGAGCTCCTCAGTGTTGCATCCGGTCTGTTTTTGAAGAAGGATGACTAATAGGTCCTTTTGGGTTGTCCTGTAGGCCAACCAATTCACCGCCATGGCTGTTGGCCACTCTTTTGGTGTGCAGAACGAAACGAGGACCCATTGGTTGACACAAGATTGTTTAGAGGTCCCATGAGGTCCCACTTGTTTCAATGGAAAATGTCGGAAGAGACTTCCACCAGGGCCAGGACCATTTGGCACCACGGTTTCGGATTTGTTGTGAAGAGGCTCTAGAGGTGAGTCAGTGAGAAGGGAGGCAGCAACACAGGCAAGATCTTCCGGCCCGTTACCTCGTGCCGATTGTTCAACTTCTAAGGAAGGTTCAATTGAAGGTGGTCATCCAGGATGTTCTTCAATGTTTGTAATCCAGGAGTTGACTTGGAATCTTGGTGCTCATTGTGCTCATCTAAACTGTGCAATCCAGTTTCGTAAAGTGAGAATAGCTTTTTGAGATGGTGTTGAAGCGGAACACCTGCACAGGGCAGCTTTGCTTCTCCACAGCTCAGCCCACATCGCAGTTTTAACTCAGAAACTTCTCGGTAGATACCTTGAAGCAAAGTGCTCCGAATCTGCTACGGACCTTTGTTTGATGGTCGATGTTACTTGTTCTGGCAGTGTGCTGCCCCCGCGACTACGAGCTTCTACCCAAAAGGCCTCACTTCCCCTCGACGCGAGCCACACGGTCCGAGGCACACAGCTTGCTGGATGTGGAGGTTCGGAGCCCAACGCTTGGAGTCGAACGTCTAGCTGCCTAGCTCTAGTCTACTTGAGGACTCCGGAAGGATGCTCAGCTGGGGATGTGGTGCTGAGGCGAAAAACATGTAGACTATAGACTCTAGTCTATTCCAAGCTATTGCTCGCCGGGAACAGGTCGTCGAGTCACCCCTGCACGTCTCTGGAGGCGTTCAGGAGGCGGGGTCGGTTGAAATGCTGCATATATTGATACATATTGTGTGTCGGTCCATGTTGGTGGGTGTTATGCATTGTGCAGGTTGATGTTTGTAAGTAGTCAACTCTTTTTGTGGCACATTCATGACTCAAATTGGATCTGTGATGATTAGAGCCGTTTCGGCATTTTTGAGGGCTTATCTCACCTGCTGTTGGATTCTTAAGCTGGGCGAGACGTGTGCCGCTGAAAGAACGACGCACCCAGGAGACGCCCGGTGTGCGATACTCAGCTGTGCGAAAGGTGTTCGAGACCGGCGGAGAGGTTAACCGGCACATGTGGAAGCATAGAAGAAAGAAGAGAGCACCAAGCAACAGAAGAAGATCGAATAAGCAGCCATGTTGAACATTGAGACTGACTGAGACCACGAAAAAAAGACAATAAAAAAGCCTTCAGAGGCGGAGAATGAAGAGAAAAAAGAAGAACCATCGATCCTCACAGACTGAACTCAGACAAAATGTGGGGAACCTGCTTTTAACCCACCCTTGACAGAGAGGAATGAGATACGAACAGTTATTTGGTTTTCATTCTTCAAGTTGGGAAGAGAGACAGAGAGAGAGAGAGAGGCAAGAGAGAAACATGAGATCACATGAGTTGCCACGCACCTTGAGTTGAAAGTCTTTTGGGGCTAACTTATAATCCTACATGCTGATTTGATTGATCCAGACGCAGAACGTGAAAGGATAGACTCCAAAAGAGTCTCCAAATCGGCATTGCTAGGTTCAGTCCAATGCTAGTTGCAGCGACTTGTAGCACCACTCCAGATGGTCAGTTGCTGTTGCAAGTCTTCACTCTCTCCATCCCTCTCCCATGTTGGGCTGAGGCCGAGAAGGAAACCAAGGAAGTGAGTGGAGCATCCCACACAGATGAGACGTCCAAGGCCGCCAAGGCCCGGTTTCTCCGTTTCGACATACGACTGAACACACCAAGGCGAGATCTCCTAACAAGTCCACCAACACACCAACTAACTGACATCAACGGACACCAACCAACGCCAACCGACACCAACCCACCAAGAAGACAAAGCAAAAACACGTTGTGTCCCTTTTCATCCCTTGTCCGCATGTCTCAGGGTGCCAAGAAGGACCATGAAGCCCAACCAGGCGGGCCCTGATGGTAAGTGAACATCGATGGCACAGTCAGTTGACGTTTCCCTTGAGAGTTCTGTGGTCAAAGAACACGGAATTGTCTTCGCCGTGACAAGAGCGTGGGACCAATGAACATGTTGGTTTTAAAGCATGAACATGATCTCAGAAGAAAACAGGCCTCGCAAGAGAAAACATCTCTAATGCAAGGACAACTAGTTGTGCCTACTTTGTGAGAGTGATTCAGGTCAACCTGAAATGTGTCCAGTCATCCCAAAGGTAACGGTTGGTGCCCCGTCAAAGTACAGGTGTACCACTTGAACATACAGGAACACATAGAGCACCTTTTGACATGTCCAGCAACATGCCATGTCAGGTTTTTTTGTCTTGACATGTCCATTTCTTGAGATCAGTCCAAGAAGCAACAAAAGAAATCAAAAAATATCAACATGGTCATTACATGCTTGTTCCATGTTTTGGGGTTGTTTATATTTTTTCTTAAGTCAATGTTTATTGACTACAGTTTAGTTTAGTGGTCAACACATGTTTTCTCTATTCGATTTTCGATTCATGACTTCGTGGTTTCGATTTGTTTCGATGGAACTTCGACTCATCGACTTAGGACCGCCATCGACCATCGACCACGAGGAGGTTGGACGACTAGTCACGCGACCGGGGGGGCACCGGAGCGATGCAAACCGGAGGCAGAGAATCACAGAGGAGGGAAGCAAGCCCATCAGGAGCTTCAAAAAGGAACACCTGAGAGAGCTGCCTGAGACAGATGTGAAGCAGGGCATCGTTTGGTGGGACTTTCTTCAAATGCAGGGCCCACCTAACTTCATTCCTTTGCGTGGCCATTGACCACGAGCTATCAACCATTTGTTACTTGCCCTACAACTCGAGAACGCTGCCGGCCGCTGCCCAATTGCAAGACGCCGAATGGCAGCAGTAAATCTCCATTAGAATCAACAGTTGTTTGATAGAGTGCCTTCATTACATGTCATTTCAGAGATGTTTGTGTAAAGCTTCGCTGGTTCTGTGCAAATGGCAGTGCCAGGTTCCGCATGCTCATGGGTTCCGCGCTTGTAAGTTTAAGGAGGCTCTTCATGTTATTGGTCTCGTCCTCCTGGAGACTCTCATGTAGTATTTTGGACTCTTGTTGTGCGACCCGGTGTTTTTCCCGAACAAGGACGAACGGTGATGGAAAGAACAGATGGGTGTGGATCGCCATCAAAGATGCACGCCCATGGCGTCGTTCTTATGACGACAGCACATATGCTTATACATCTATTTACACTGAACCCGGAGAATGGAAAAGATCAATTTGTCCTTGCAGTTGTTGGACAGATGTTCCGATGGTCCCAATTCAAAAAAAGGGTGTGTATAATTTATTTTGGAATTATATAGTTATTTGTTACTTTTTTTGATAGCTTTTGGTGGCTTTTGACTTTTGGTGGCTTTTAGTGGGTTCCGTGGGGAGAGTGATTTTAAGGGATACTGTTTAAGTAGTATTTTACTTGTTTTAGTGGTCACGTGGCTTTGGTGGCTTTTGGCTTCTGTGGCTTTTGTGGCTTCTGGCTTTGGTGGCTTTTGGCTTTTGGTGGCTTTTGGTGGTTTCTGTGGGGAGGGTGATTTTAAGGGAGACTTTTTGTAAGTCAAGTGGTATTTGTGTCAGTGGTTGTGTGGCATTGGTGACTTTTGGCTTCTGTGGCTTTTGTGGCTTTTGGCTTCTGTGTAGGTTTTGGCTTCTGTGTGGCTTTTGGCTTGTGTGACTTTTGTGGCACTATACTTTGCGTTCACCCCCTCCCGCTCCTGTTTTTTCAGCGCCCCCTCCCGCTCTTTGTGAGCATTAACTTCTTCTGACCCATTACAATCGCTACTTTTGATAACTTTTCTTGTAAAATCAGTTTTTTTATGACTTTGATATTCACATCGACATCTCTCTTTTTAGTTTTCTATTGCATTCTTTGCTTTTGATGACTCTTCTAGACAAAATCTCTACTTGTAATGCCGCTCCCATTGAGAACCACACAGACCACCCAAATAAAAATCCCAATATTAAAAACGACATCCTGATTAAAGTCCCGACCCTTTTTGTTGACTTTTGGTGGCTTCGGTTGGCTTTTGGTGGCTTGGTGTTGGCTTTTGGCTTTTGTTGGCTTTTGGCCTTTGTTGGCTTTTCTTTTCCTCTTGCCTTTTCCGTTTCCTTTTGCCTTTCCTTTCCTTGTCCCTTTTCCCTTTCCCTTTCCTTTTCTATTTCCCTTCCCTTTTCCTTGCCCATTGCTTGTCCTTTTTCTGTGTCCTTTCCCTTTTCCTTCGTAAGACAGCAGCCAAGAGCACGAAACATACATAATTCCAAACAAACAAATCCAAAATATAATCCGAACCCAATTCAAAGATATACCGTTGATATACCTTCACACAGAAAGATGCAGAAAGGTTTATAGTTCATAAGTCATAGAAGTGTAGAAAGCTTGCTTTCGATGTGCTCGTGTCCGTTGGTCACTTGACGCCCAGTTTACGGGTCACCATCGCCTTCGTTTGGCCCGAATCGGTGGTCGCTGTCGACATCGACGCAGTCGCCGATGTCGCCCCGCGACGCGACGCGCGGAAGGACGCGGACGACGGGACGCCATGACATGTGCAAAGAACCATGTCTTGGAGAGCTTGGGCACCTCGAAGGACAATGGTTGGGGCTGTGATGGTCGGCTTCAGCCTGGTGGGTGTCGAAGTGGCTTGACGGGTTTTCATCAATCGCAGGGCCTACGGCGCTTTCGGTGTCGGGGCCTCAGAGGTAGCAAGTCTGAAGGTGTGCCATTGGCCAACTTGAGTTTTATTTTGGAGGGAATGTCAAACATATGATAATATAGTAATATATATATATACACATGTTAATTTTAATAAGTGTCAATTATGACATATCATGAATTACATTTCTGTTACTGTTTCATGCTTCAATTGGAAGAAACTGAAGCAGTTCTCCTGAAACAGTTGTTTATTATCTCCGCCCGCGGTTCTCCTTGTGTCCTAGGTGAGGCCTGTGATTTTGATTTCTGTGAAGAGTGCTACTTGGAGCAACTGAACTCCAGACGCTGCACTAAAGGCCATGTCCTTGTCTCTTTAGGGACCTCATTAGACAATGGCTGGTTCTGCGATGCTACCAAAGAGGGCGGATGCAGAAGCAAGGACCACTCTTGCCGAGCAGTTCGCAGGGCAGTAGGCAACATTTATATACACTTGGATTGAGGATCCCTCAGAGTCCTCATTTTGAACTGCCCATATTATACCTTCATATACCTCCAAAGAACCCACACAATCAGCCACTACACCGCCGCTTTCCAGGAGTGCGGCTTCAAAGACACGAAAGGTTTGCCACGCTTCAGATGCGAGAGTTGTGACTATGATTTATGCGAGCGGTGTTACACCAGCCCTGCAGCAGTGAAGGGCTGTGAGAAAGGCCATAAGCTAAGAGGATTGGGTTTGACCAGGGACAACGGTTGGTGTCTCTTGGCAGCAGCGTCCCGGAGACGGGAGGGCGAGGGATCCAAAGATCTTACAAAACATGCCGCATCGGAGCTCCAATTTGACAGGAACCATTCAGCAGGGCCTTCTCATCCCACTCCTCCGCAGACTTTCAATTATTTCAATATTTGATACAGTTACTATGTTGGTAGATTGTACGAAAGGTGCAGTACAGGTCCAGTCGGTGAATCCTTTATCCACCAGCTGGCTTGTCTTGTCCAGTCGATAAGTCCCTTAGCCTTGGAGGGGAGATCCGCCTCGATCCGGCCTCTGGTGACATGATTTGTCGAGGGATCGATCCCAGGGGTTGGTGCTTTTGTTCGCGGACGGCCCGGACGGTCGGTCACCGGGGGTTCGTGGGCGTTTGGGTGTTGGGAGACGCTGTCTCCGGCTGTCTCCACGAACTTACTGAACAGTGTCTAGAGCGTTTTTGACAGTGGAGGCAGCTCACCATCTATTTGGGGCAATCCAATGTGCCTCATGAGTTTAATCGGGCTGTGTCCTCAGCCGTGGCTTTAGCTGGGCACTACTTTGGAAATGGGTGGAGGAGTTCTGTTTTTGCTGCTCCCGGTGCGAGGTTGCGATGGAAACAAGCTCTTTGGTGAGTGCAAGCGTGGCATGAAAGGCTACAAGAAATCCAAGGGCATCTTCCGCTTTCGTTGCGAGGCGGGCCGGAAGTACCTGCTCAACACGCGCATCAACACGCGCACGCAGAAAAACGCTCGTTTTCAGAACCGCCGCCGTGTTGAAGATCCTTCGATCCTCTGATCCCCTGAGGTTTGTGATTTCGATCTCTGTGACAAGTGCCATGAAGCCCGACCTCCATTGGAGTCCAAGGCAATGGAACGACGAGAGGGACCTTTGAAGGCCACCAACATGGAAGTGCACGCTTCGTTGATCCCTGAGTACTGGGACAAGAGCATTTTGGAAGATATTGAGATGGGAAACGGCTTAAGTCCTACAGAAGAAGGAACTCTGAACAAGTTTGCAAAGATTCCCCTCAATGAGAAGGAAATCGATGCAATTCAGTGCCCTGGCTCATTGGATTGCAGAGCTTTGATTTTTTCCACTTGAATTGCGCCTGAAAGGCGGTATATTGTCGCTTTCGCACCCACAAGCTTTGGGCTCTGCCAAACTCTGTGTTTCTTCGAAACCAATTGCTGACAAGGCAAGCGCACACGGTTACTGTAAACACATGTTATACCAAGAAAACATCAGAACTGTATAGAACTTTTGTCGTTCCCGTTCCTCCCACACAGTACCTTCAAGTCATGCGCACCTTGGCTAAAGCCTGGACTTTGGAGGTGCATGAACATAAAAAACTATAAAAAACTGAAGGTTGTCCACCTGGAGTTGGTTTGTTCATAAAAAGCTTCCACGTATTTTGGAGACATCCCTAGACTCAGCTGAGCTGAGCTGCAGACTCAGCTGAGCTCCATGTGGAGACAGTCGACCTGGACTCCTCGTACCAACGCCCGCCCGTTCGGCCGGTCGGCGCCCAAACCCGCGCGGTAGCATGGCGTAGGTCCGGCGTAGCATGGCGTAAGCGGACGGTCAACCCAGACTGGGATGTGTGGTGCTGAAACCACCAGCAAACGCATTTGTGGATGCAATGATGTGTGAAGCACGAAGGTAGAACACTGAGAGGGGCAAAGTCAATCACCAGAAGATTGAGTGCGAAACGAATGTGTTCTTTTGCATATAGACTATAGGCCGTACGTCCTTCATTCTTATGACAGGATTCGGCAATATTCGGCAATACTTCAATAGCAACTCGCCCCAGCTTCTAGGTAGAGAGAGAAGTCCAAACATTTCTTACTGAGAACAATCAGTTGCCATGCCCTGGTGGACATCCATTCCCAAGGCTTAGGCAGATTTTTGCGATCACAGGGGTGGTTTGCTGGATATTGTTGGATCCCGCTACCTCCCTTCATAGCACACTTCGTTACCACCTTGGCTCACTGCTTTGTTGAGCTGTTCCTCCCAGGAAACTATTTGACTCCACACACAAGAAGGTCTACACCCGTGATCGCAAGGGTGCAAAGGCGCGGTGTTCCAACAAACAGAAAGAACCCGCGGAAGAAAAATGAGTCCTTAGTGTAGACCCTAAGTGAGCAGATAATGGGCGCCCCAATCCTCCAACAACACCGCGTTATATAGACGCTGCATGTTCAGAGGTTGCCGTAGTTTTTTTCCAAGTATCGTTCATCATGTCATCAACCGTGGTTGCTGTTTTTTTGGTAGCATGTGTTATTCGATTACGTGGCTCACGAACTTGTCATTGCAACATTGGGGATTCCAACTCACATATCATCAATTATCACACTTTCCTGATTTCAGTGTGTGTATTATCATTGCTTGATCGGAAAAGTTGGATGTTCAAATTTGTTAAGCTCAGATGATCACATACCAAGTGCCAGACAATGGAGTGGTGGGTTTGACTAAAGCTTTATAGTTGAATTTGACAAAACGTGTAATTCAGTTTGAGTTTTTTTCTGGTCGGGATCCATGTTGTTTTCATTGCAGTCGTTGTGGTGGTGGTAGTAGTATTGTTTGTTTTTAGCATTGCAGATGTAGCTGTAGAAGTAGTTGTTGTTGTTGTTGTCGTTGTTGCTGCAGTAGTAGTAGTAGTAGTCGTCGTAGTCGTAGTAGTAGTAGTAGTAGTAGTAGAAGTAGCAGTAGCAGTAGCAGTAGCAGTAGCAGTAGGAGTAGGAGTAGGAGTAGGAGTGGTAGTAGTGGTAGTGGTGGTAGTGGTAGTGGTGGTGGTCGTCGTCGTCGTCGTCGTCGTCGTCATAGTCGTAGTCGTAGTGATAAGTAGGCAAGTAGGTAAGTGGTAGTAGTCCTTGTTGCCGTTGCTGTTGCTGTTGCTGTTGTTTTTGTTGTTGATGCTGCTGCTGTTTTAGATGGGGGCCCAACAACACAGCTGGTCGAGGTCCCCGATGGCTTCGAAGTGGTGCGCGTGGATCGAATCCAGAACCTGCAAAACTGGGCAGAGTTCCGGCTGAGGCAACAAGAGATTCTGGAAGAGATCGAGAAACTGAAGGAGAACGTTCCAGCACCACCCAACGGGTGGTCATTAGATGGAACATTACATGCTCAGGGGGTCTATAAACCACCCCTTGGCTGTGTGAAGAATGGCTAATTACATGGTGTCATTTGGTCTCAAAGTCTTTGTCTCCCGTCTCCTCGCTTCAGGAGTGGTTGGGATGTTCCCGGCCGTTTGGAGAAACCACTGGTGTTTGGATGGTGATGAATGGTGTCGGTGTCACACATCTCCGCCTTGGTGACTGATTCTCGTCAGGAGAAAGGCGAGAAAGGTGTTTGTGCAAATGGCCACGAGTTGGAACCCCTGGGCACCTCCGAAGACAATGGCTGGGGATGCGATGCTCGCAGTGATGGCGGCTGCCTCTCAGGAGAAGATGGTGGAACTCGCGTGAACCAACCCCGCCTAATGGTGCTCGGGCGCGTGAACCACCGAGCACCTCCCATATCGGGTGCTGCAGCGTTTCCTTACCCGTTTTTTCCACCACCCTGTAGGGATGGGAAACCTGTTTTGATTGGATTTTTTTTCAGAAACAAATTTGAGCATCTCAGCTTCTAACACGGGTGCAGGAATCACGGGCTTCCATCAAACGAAGGGCATGAACCGCTTTCGCTGCGATCGCTGCGACTTCGACTACTGCGAGAAGTGCTACATCTTGCGGACTGGAGCGAAGCTTTGCCTCAAGGGCCATCCCTTGACTCCTCTAGGTGCGAACTTTGATGAATTGTGAGTCCTCCGGTGCGAATCCTCCCAGAAATGAACTCACCCTTGTCCAGTGAAGTCGGATCTTCGATGGTTTCCCTGCGTGTTTCCGAAATTGTTCCATGGAGTTTCTGGGGATGGATCCCCTGATGTTCCCTTGGATGGCGTTGAGTTTGGATTGGACCAGTTCTGGATCGGCAAGCTGCCACATTGACACGACACATGGACTGTTGATCGTCTCCTCCCGGCACGCGGCACGCGGCTGTTCTGTGAGGCACCACGAAGGATAATGGCTGGTTTTGTGACAACAAGCGTACCAAGCAAGGTTGCCTTCGTGACAGCAAGACCAAGGGGGTGGACCGATATCGTGACTAAGTTGAAGTTTGACATGTGAACCAAAAGTGAGGACAATGCATTATATAGTATTATAGTTTATTATACCTATAGGTGCAGGGATGGTGCAGGTAAAAAGGGTTAGTAGGGAGGTTGATATATGTTGATTTGATTTGTTTAACTCTAACTTCTTCCTAGCGGCGGCGCCGTCAGGTACCAAACATGTGATCCGAAGTGAGGTCTATATAGGACTCCCAATTCCCGGTGTTGGAAAACGTGCGCCGAAGGGGTGTTTTGGGGCCCTTTGTCAATGACCTTCCTTCCCGTATGGTTTTGATCGGAGCCGATGTGGAACTGAGCCGATGGACAAGCGGGCCAACAAACATGGTCAACAGAGCGGGCCGCGGAACAAAACGGTCAGCTTGTGTAAGAACTCTTGGTGGATTCTTCGTCGGAATGGTGAAGCACTCGAGTACGTTTGAGAGTTGACATTTGTCAAGGCAGTTTATAAGTCAATAGTCAATAGATGTCAATAGTCGTTATATAATGGTCGATATACGATTCAGCACACTGATTGCTTTACAGTATGTTTCCTCACGCGCAACCAAGGCTGTGAGCAATGTGACTATGACTTGTGTGACTTGTGCTATCAAAAGCACATCGGCCACGTCTTGAACAACTTGAAGACTGATCAAATGGACATGCATTCCCATGAAGATGACAAAGACAGCAACACGGTTTGGCTCTTTCATGGCACATCCAGTGAAGCGGCTGAGCTCATCACGCGCGGTGACTTTTTGGTGGACAAAGCCGGTTCGAACGCTGGGACCTTATACGGTCGAGGCATTTATTTGGCGGAAAGTTGCAGCAAGTCCGACGAATACTCCCGGGAGAATTCCGATGGACATCGATGTATCCCTGAGTTTGCTTAGGCTGATTTTTGTTGGGCAGATCCCTATATAGCTATTCTTCATGGGAGGCCTGAAACAAGAGTCTCTCACTTTCGACCCATGTGCTTGATCGACCAGTTCGTTTTGAACAATCGGGTGATGAATCGAGAACATCGCCAGGTATCCTTCTTTGCCGGGCCGTGCTGGGAAACATTTTGTACAACGACGATGTAAGTCCAAACCTGGACTGTAGCTTGACTGCAACCATTGATTTGACGCGGATTGGAAGATTTGCTACATTGACCTTGGGTGTGCCCCATTGCCCGCAATGGTTGGTAAAAGATAATCGATTCTTTTAAAAGCCTTTAGCAACCATCATCAATCATCATCCACTGGGCCCTGGCAATGGGAGATACCAAACTTTTTTTGCAACCTTTCAACCACCCAATTGACGGGTAAATATGCCGGTCCGACGGGTCTTTGGGAGTGGTTCTTCGATGTTCTTCCCAAGTAAAGCCACCACTGGTGGGGGGCACATTTGGCCGAGAATCTGACCATGAACAGGCAGAGGGTCATCAGAAATTCCGGCAGAAACTCACAGGATACGTTAAATAGACTTGGCAACTTTGCCAGTTAGTCTCCCAATGCAGATTTGAGGGCAATGTTTGATGCCTGTGGTGGAGTGCTTCTCCCATGTCTCAACAAAACACCGCGCAAGGGGAAGCTTTGACAACAGTTCTGACATTGTTCAATCAAGACAACACCCACGCACCTTCAGATCAGAAGCTACGCACTCTCTGGCATCAACAAGGTTGGAGGGAAGAACAGCAATGCCAGTGTAGAACATGATACACATGTATAATGTGCAATGATCTCCAAAAGAAGTTAGACGAACCTAACTGGTAGACAAGTTTAAGTGGGTGAATTGGAAATAATGTGTTGAACGTTGTGTCGTTCTAGTCTCGGAGTGTTGCCGAGTGTCGTATGTGTTATTTCAAGGCTTATTGCGGCAGATCCGCGACAAGCAATACCACAGTCTTCTAGGTGACCGTGAGAAGTGCCGAAGAACATTTCGAGAATTTGTGGTCTATGATGACGACCAGGTGTATCCAGAGTTTGCTGTATGGTACAAGCGCGTTTACCAGGAAGAGAAAAAGTAGATACTGTAATTGATTTAGTGCTAAAACCATGGTGCCTGTGCAAACAAGCTCAGCTTATTTGCCAAACGGCACTGACGTCCCTAACGACGTCCGGACATGGTTGTTCTATTTGGACGGCGGGTTTGCACGCCAAGTGTGCATTAAACCTCCTGTTGGATTTGCTCACGTTTCACCTGTTAGGGCTGCGAAGCAGAACGGCATAGAACGACCGCCGCCCGTTTCGCGATGAAAAGGGCGGGCTGGGCGGTTGGATTTCTACAGGTGTCATCAGTTACATCCCACCTTGGTGAGCAACCACAGCATCACGGGCTCCTATTCCAATATGACTCCTCTTGGGCGATTGCTGTGAACTTGAGAAAATGCCTTACAAGAATCAGCCTGGATCTTCCAACGACCAACAAATTCTGCTAGTTTTGGTATATTTTGGTCATTGACCCAGTTTTCAGCGCAAAGCACACGCAGAAAAAACACCAACGACGGCACAAAATCCACAATCACAAAACACACATCAAGCATAAAACGACCGGACATTGTGTGGGGTGGAAGGTCCATTAGAGAACCTAATTAGAGTTCCATGTCGGGGTGTTCGAGGGGTCCGGTGCCATAACTTTGCATCAGTCAAGAAAATGGAACTGGACTGTGAAACTTGCAGTTGACTTGCAATATATAATATAGACATATGAGGTTTGGTGTGTGCAACCCTGATCTGCCATGAGTTCGGTGCCACGGGGCTGGCGGGCCGCTCCGTGCCAGGAGGAAGAGCCCACGCTGAGCCCAGAGGAGACCAGCGACACACTGGCAGCGGTGGCTTGCCCGGTCACGGCCGCGTTCACGGATGGGCCTTGAAAGGAGTTCAAAGGTCTGAATTGGTGACCTGTTGGGGAACGGAGCTGGCGTTAAAAGGTCTTATATGCCTTTTCCAAAAGAAGACGTTGAGTATGGGTTGGGGGACATCTATAAGCATTAAACCTTTTGAAACGGAGAATGCGGTCTCGCTGCAGGAAGTTCCCTATAACCACTTTCTGCGATTTTTCAGGTGCTGCTCAGATGGTGGTAGCTCACATCGGTCACTGACTGGGCATACTGTATAAGTCTGAGTGCGGTCTTGGGAGTCCTTCATCACTTGTAGAACTCCAACCCCTGCCCCCCTACCATGTGAAAGAACCACACCGGGAGCAGAATGGGTGCTGGTTTGAGGAAACCGTCATGGCTCCCCTGGAGCAAACCACTTTCGCCCTTCTTGGTGTGTCCATCAGGGATTGACCATGTTTGGAACCATCACGCTCCGATCGCTTTGGGACCGCGAGGTGAAAACGGGCGACAAGGAAGACGAGGCAGCGGAAGTCCTCGTCTCGGCAGCGGAAGTCCTTATTCCCCACTTGGGCCGGTGTAGACCGGATGGAGGGAACCGAGCAGAATCCCACAAGCAGTTTGCAAGACCAAGGGCCACCAGAAGTTCGACCAAGAAGATGGACTGAACGACATTGATTTTGGATGATATTCTTGTTGGGATCAATCAAGATTGAGCACTATTTTTTTGTGTGAAGACTGTTCCAACTTGATCCCAACGTGTATCCGGATTGCGGATTACCAGTTTACGGATGCATGTTTTTGGTTGCTTGTCGCATATAAGAAATTGAAGCCGTTGTAGAGGCACTCCCAAGGTTTCCTCTCAGCTTGGGCTACCCAATCCAAACTCGTCGCTTCTTTTTGTTTTGGGGGTTCCACTCAGCAACCTTGTTTGGATCTTCCGTCTCAAAGCTTTGCACGCCCACAAGCCTGCCTCTACATGGTACACGGTTTGCCGATTTAGCCTTTGGATTGCACATTACAGTGGAAAGTGGATTGTTCGGACCATCAAGTTGGGTGGAACTTGGAGCACAATCGTTTGAAGGTGCTAGTGTGGATGGTTACACTCCCATCATGGAGGTGGATGGCATGGCCCTTTGGAAGACGAAGTGTTTCCATTACAAACAAGCGGTGCCATCCACTTCCATCATGTCAGTGACTCTTGTTGTTAGAAGAATCGGGACATCGATCGGATGCGTGAGGGATACGTTAGGCTTCAGCACCCACCATGGGCGGAAGTTCCTATCCGTGAGACGTTTTTCATGCGAACGAAAGCACGTTTGCCTGGATTTTCTTTCCAGGGCTTTGTCGCAAAATCTGTTATTGTTGTTATATATTTTGGGATTTTGGATGATCTTCATAGCAACTTAGGAGCCACCCCAGGAAACAACAAAGCAGTCCTCCTCGATCTCACATTTGTACACCTTCCTGGTGAGCACCCTGTGCTTCTCGTCGCACCACAAGCCGGGTGTCACACCAAAACCCCCGTGTCCGGCTGCCCAAACCACTGCGTCCAGGCCGAGCGCCGGCGGATCCCCGTGAAGGAGATGGGCGACTGAGCTTGGCCCGGGCCCGGTGGAGGCTGAGAGCTGGCGCCAAGCGGCTATTCAGATGCCGGTTTTTCGGTGGTCCGTGGATCGTTTGGACGGATCGCCCACCCAGATGGAAAGGGTAACGGTTTTCCCTCATCCCACAGAGAGTAGATAAAGATCGTGAAGACAAAGATAAAGACAAGATGGGCACCATCTCACTATGTCAATGTGTAATACCATCAGAAGTTAGAGGGCTGACTTCCGAGGCGTGAAAGCAAGAGAAGGTTTGAGCATGTCGCTGCAGAAAGGAACGCTGATGTCACGTCCGCCAATGGTTTAGTTTGTTTCACACGGGGAATGTCCAAAAGGGAGGACTCTTAGACCAAATGAGAACCACATAGAACCAACACCCGTTTTCGCCCACGAGAGTCAGCAGATTCGGCCTCCAGGTGTGACATTCCCACATACAGTCGCTTTACTTCACTCACGCATGCTTATCTCTCGCTGATGAGTGTGGCAGCCTGACAGAAGCGATTGCTAATCCAGTTGAATCCACTTGGCAACATTTATCTAGATGCCAAGGCCGCGCCAAGGCGCAAACGAAACTCCAGTAGAACCGCAACCGCACTTGCGGTGCCAATGACTTTTCCAGGGACAGCACATCAAGAAAGGGAGGAAAAGGGGTGCTACATGGTGCTCCTGAGAGTTGAGATTCATGGATGTTCACCGAGCTTTGTCTTGGATGAATGATTCAGTGGAATGTTCGTTTGCAGGGCCTCAGGGAACACCATATTACAGAATAGGACATGTTCATCCTCTCGAGCGTTTATGGAACATGTGAAAGAAAGATGAGGAATGTGGTCAAGACTTTTGATTGTCCCGTTTGCCAACTTCAGGACCAGATTTGTCTACGCCCTTCCACACACTCCATGTGCAGAGAACGGCATGGCCCAGCCAATTGATCAATTCCAATCTAAATTTTCCTTCGAACGAGCCCTCTTACATCCCATTCAGAATCATTTAAGGATGTCTCTCAGTTTCGCAGACAAAGACAGGGAGACAGGGCTTGGCTGAGTTGACATCAGTCGTATACCAAACTGGTCAGACACATCAGTCTTACCAGGGCTTGGCCGACCCAGGCCGACCCTCAGGAATGCACTCGGCATATCTGGGGTCGGAATGCACCCCTCAGTTCGGACTCGAAACGGCTCTAGAACTCCGCTTGGGACTGATCATGGCCAATGGCGGCCAATCCATTTGTATACGAATGTTCTCAATCCCACCGCTTGGGATTTGACCCACGACTCCTTTGACGGGGATGTCTGAGTTCACCGTTCAATCTCTGAACTCCCGATGCTGGGGCCCGAGACCACCTTTTTACTTACTTGGTCACAGCTTGTGGACGGTGAGTCCACCAATTGACATGCTGGTGGTGTTTTCGAATCACCCGTAAGACCCATACAGCTTGGAGACTCAGCTCGGAGGGTCGTCCACGGCCATACTCAGCTCAGGAGCGCAAGCGGTGGAGGAACTGGAATGAAGGAGGACGAGGCCGGGCCGCTTCAGGTCGTGGCGGTCGAGGTCGGGTCGGTTCAGAAGGCATTCACATGGCACGATGGTGCTGGGATGTGAAGCCCCTTATCTCTCCCTGGAACAAGCCGTGGTTGCGTGGAGTTCACCACCTGTTTGGTTCGTGGATTTCATGGTCTTCCGAACTCGGGGCCATGACCCACGTAACCATGTTAGTTGCAGGGAGTGTAGATGTTTGTCTTCGATCCCTCGGTTGGTGCTGGTGTTGCACACCGGTCTCCAGACTACGCACACCGGTGCAGGTGGTCATGACCTTTTTTGGGTCATAGAACGGCATGTTAACACTTATCCCAAGTTGAATGCAGTTTGCCAAACAGGACAGAGACGCTTTTCGTTTTTGCTTTGAAATTGGATGTTGTTGTATTTCACATGGTTCCAAATGTTTCCCATGTGGAACCATTCACAGCTGCATGTATTGCAGACATGCTTGTACGTCATCACGTCACGATGATTCAAACAAAATGACTATATACTGTATGTGAAATGGTGAAAGGACCCTTCATCATAGTGTTCACTAGCTTTTGAACCCTCTCAGAATATGCGTGATGTGGAATATGTCAGCTGGATGGGGCAAAGATGGGCAAAGCGCCCGTCACACCGCGTGGGCTGAGGCGGCTACACCGAGCAGTTCTTTGAGAGGCCAGGTGATGCTGTGGAAGCTGGGCGCCATAGGGCTCATAGGATTGGTTGATCTTGGTGGACATCCCTGTGAATATATGAAATGGCCTCTTAAATTTCCACTTAAAATGGTAACAAAGGACGCTGCTAGTAACAAAGCGCATGGCTACTAGTAGCAAGGACGCTACTAGTAGCTCCTGGCATTACTACTAATAACAAGAAGCTACTATCAACAAGTAAGCATGTGGATATAATATGGAGTAATAGTGATTGAATTGGACACTCCATGACAAAGACTTGAGAACTTCCTCAAGGGGGTATCAGACTTAGCCCATTTCGCTTCCAAGGGAGCAACAACAAGTTGGGAGGTTACTTTGCAGACTGACGCCCAGCATCAGCAGGATCAACAGGGAAGTGAAAGAACTATATATAGGATAGGTACGGTCGATACCTGCCAAAGTGTACATCGGGAATAATTAGAGTGGTGGCTTTTCAATATGTGGTCTTACCTCGTGAATGCATATATTGACCCTAATCAGGAGACATTACGTTGGTTCTTTCGCATAGTAGTGGAATGAATGGATTATCTCGAAAACATGGAACGTGGCGGGCAGGCGGGCAGGCGGCTGGGTGGGTGGGTGCGTGGGTGTGTTCACTTGAGACACATGCTCTGGAGTCGATGTGCTGCCTTTTGCTGCGGGGGCAAGTGACCTGAAGGTCAGCTCTCCCTGGATGCCCCGGGCAGGTATAAGAATGTCCGCATGGAGGAGCCCAAGAAGGAGAAGTACGACAAGAGAATGAAGGGGTCCGTGACTCAACTTCCCCAAGGCTTCCATGCAACGTATATTAAATACCGTATAGAAGACAGGCCCACCAGGTCAGTGACGGTGACGGCCGGGCCCTAGGAGACCGGCGCCTTGGATGTCGTGGTTCGACTCATTTGCATCACATCCCGGAAGCGTGGAGCGTTTGGAACAAAGCGCATCCAAACATTGAAGCGTTTGAGACCTACACTCCCTGTTTCAGGAAGATGGTCATCCGGGCCATGCCATCCACTTCCATGATTATTTCAAGAAGTGTAGATCACATCACTGGGACCTGGCAAACGTACATCCTGCCATTGGCAACACCTGCATTCGGCCCCCGTGCCGCTTGAGGTCGGTGGGGCCAGGCCCTGGCATGGAGTACATGGCTCGATGGACTGGCGATGCCCTCAATTGGAGGAAACGGAGATGTCCTCACCGTCGAAAACAGTGATTGCTTCAATGAGCTTGGAGGAATACACAACAAATGCATAGCAGTGCCTAGCTTTTGCCTTGTTGGAGCTAAGAAATTGCCACCAAACATTGAGCTATATATATATATAGAATCATGTGGGGAGTATTCTGAGGAAGTGGAAACTTGGCTTGTGCCAGAAATGGTAGCTTTTGGCCTTTTGAGAGGCAACTGATAACTGTGCACAAGCAGATCAGCACATGTGTCAAGTTTGTCTCCAAGGCTCCAAGAACTCCTTCAATTGAGAGTAGCGTAGCTGGCGACGTCGCCAGCTGAGAGTCAGTGCGCCAGCGTGGCCAGCGCTGCCCTGGAAAAGTGCCGCGACACCGTTAAACATAAGCCTCTCAATTGGAAGAGCAGTACAGAAAGTATGTCAACGACCCCTGAAACAAAGCTAGAATTGAGAATCTCATTGAACTTGCGGAGCTGAAATCTGTTTTTTGATGTGTTTATCTCAAGCTCTCAGAACTGAGGTGATGGAAGTCAAAGCGACCTCTTTTTTCCAGAGTTTAACTTGTTTTCCTGATTCACTCGGGGGGTACGGGCGCCATGGCACGGTGCTTCTGGACACAGGGACGCACTCAGAAAGCAAAGAGTTGTTGTTCGTTTTGGTTGAACCTTGTAAGCCATGCTTGTGGAGCGCTTCCTGAAAGGAAGGGCCATAGGGCCATGCCCTAACCACAAGGGGATCCCTCAAAGGGTTGATCAACAGCAGTGCCTGCCACCGGACAACATCGTTCTAAACAAGACGAGATGATAGGCACATGAGTAGGTAAGGTTACATGAATGGATTTGCACTTGCTTCTCTTGCCAGAATGACTACAACATTGAACTATGGCGGTAACTTTCGCCGTGGGCAGTTGTGTGACTGTTCATCCGTGCAGATTTAGGTTCCAAATGGCGTTGAGCCCAGAGTTTGCCGAATGAAGGTCAGCATGAATCATCTTATCCAGCACACGCAGCAGCAAAAAAACTTGGGCACCGCAGCTGGGTGGACAGTCAACCCAGCTGGGTAGTAGGTGCACCAACTTGACGGAAAACAGTGCCAGGGCTGCCAGGGAGTCCTTCACCATTTTCGACCAATCCGCCCAAACCATGGAATCCAAGCGACTGGGTAGACCCACGACTGCCACGAGGAAAACCCAGAGGCCAATGACCAGTGGATTGTATACAGACTTGATTTAAATTGCTTTCGCTACTCAGTATGCAGTTTCTTGAACAAACAGGCTTGTATTCCAAGACGCTCCACTTGTTTGTAGGCCTATGCGAACGTAGGCTATGTGGACGGTATTTCGAAAAGAGGTTCTGAGGCACTCACACGAGATGTTTGAAGCATGACAAGCAGAGAGACCTCTTACCAGGCTCACACGTGGTGGGTATGTCGATAGAAGAGGCCTCCGCACTCCATGACGAGCACCATGACGAGCACCATGGCCATGGTGTCGCAGCACCCTGCTGTGCGTGTGCTTCGGGTGGCGTTCCTTGGCGCAAGGTGGTGATGACGACGCAGGTGTTGACTCAAATGGACAAGTCATGTGATAGCAACATAGTTTCACAGAGAATAACAGGATAAAACATTTGGAAATCATGATATAGTATACGTAATATTATAACTATGATATATACCGTTGATATTGAATTAAATTGTAGTATATTGTGTTGTTGTGTCTCGCATCAACTGGTTGGTTGAATGTAAGAATCAGGGACTCCTCAAGTTTGGGGCCTTATAGTTGGCTATTTTTCATTTGAAGACCAATCCCCAACTAGCCCATGGCATGAGCTATGGACAAAAGGTCTCCTCCAAATCAAGGATGAACTGCAAAAAAAGTCCAGTTCCTGCGCAGCCTACTTTGATTTTAGATCACCTTTGCGAGTTGGGCAAAAACCGCCTTCAAGACTTTGTTTGATCAGTGCCTTGGGAGACTCATAAAAATCGGAGACTCTTGACCGATTTATGTGTTTTGCCCTGATTGTTCTTGTTCGATTTTTGGATGATCGCTGGCTGCGTCCTTTCATCGGGTCAGCGCGTCCAGATCCGGAACTCAGCCCAGATCGGGATGCCCGACTCGGTTCGTTCGACGGAAGGCATCAGTGATTGCCCGTCAGTTTGTTGCCGGTTTTTGTTTCTCATCAAAGTGTTTCCTTGTTGAGCCATCTCTTCGGAAAATGAGATGTACTGTATGTAAGGGCTCCGCTGGATGTGGCAAACGTAAGGTCCCAGGTCACGTCCCCACTTTTCCCATTCGCGCTTTGACAGGCAAGGCCAAATCCAAGCACGAACGTGCCATTGTGCCCGACCAATGGAAGTCACCGGTTCAGTCCAGGCTGCTTCGTCAAGTTGTGTTGGAGGCGAGAGCTTTCGTGCATGGGCGTACCTCGAGCTTTCTTGGCGTTCGGCCTTCAAGGCAGCGCACGTGGCGCCACTCCTGCGCTTGTAATACATGCGCAGCTCTCTAGGCATAGGTGCGGCCTAGACGTCCAAACCATGGATGAGGCGGAAGAAGATTATTGTATTGTATTGTTTGTCTGTTTGTCTGTCAGTCTGTCAGTCTGTCAGCTCGCAAACATTCCGACGCACCTCCTCCCTTCCAACCATCGACCGGGGTACAAGAAGCTCTAGCACAAAGCACAGGTACCCGTAGGAAATGTAGAAGCTAACTCACCAAAACAAAGAAAATCACACGCTGAAGTTTGAAATAATGTCAACACGATCCCAAGCAGGATGCCAAAGAAGAACTGTGACCAAAGTGATGTGACAAAGGGTATCCAACTTACTGCTGTGGAGGAAGCTTGCAGCAAAGTTTGTGCAGGGAGTGAAACTCGACCAAAACAACACTGTACACATTCATATGCCGCAATTGCTAGGCTGTAATTGAGTGTAACAGGTCCATGACACAAGGCGATGGCACAGCTTCTATCTCCACGTTTAGTTGCAGATCAAATCCGCCAACGTCAAGTTCTTTTCCCCAAGTCCTTCTGCATCAGACCCTTGTTTGAACAGTTGCTCAAAGTGTCAAGTGCCCCATGAACGACCTGGGCCCCACCCTTTGGCGAACAGGATTCTGCAGGCTCCCCAGACTGTCCCAAAAGATCCAAAAGAAAGCTCGCTGTCCTGGCTGCCAGTCGGCATATGAGTTTGGAATGCAGCTGGTGACCATGCCTCCTCTTTTCACCAAAGAATGACATGGATTGCTTCGGGTTCTCCAAAACAATCCAATTGTAGGACGATTTTCCTCGGAGCTGTGCATCTGTACTAAGGATCGAACGTCCCCTTCACGCAATTTGTTGGTTTTCACTCGAATTTGGCCCGTCTTGCATGAAGCCCTCTTAAGAGTATAAAGTTGACATCATTGTTAGTCGAACTCCAGCCTTTCACTCATGAGGCTTTGATATTGGCCCTCTCAAGCTGTAGCATTTTGACAACCTTTCCAGCTCTACCATGACTCGGCTTGTGGCCATTGTCGGACCGTCAGGGCCCGTGTGCCAGTTACAACCATCTCGTCACTACAATTGATCATCGGACGAGCGGGTATCACTTTGCGACCTAAGGTTGAAGCTATGTTTGCGTGTGATGGCGCCTGAGGCCTGAAAGTAGACTGTGGCCGCTTCGCTGGATTCCGACCAAGCACTCTCGATTGGTGCAAATGTTCGTGGGTGTTTTCTTGATGAAGCTGGGTGGAGATCAGAGTCCTAACTTAGTAAACACATGGTTTTAATTCCCAAAGAAGAGGCTTTGAAGAGGTTCTGCCCCACTACTAACATGGCAACTTGTGATCCGTTATGCCAGCATGATATAGCATGATGAAACTCGTAGTCTTCAAGTTGAAGTGGTAGAGAGGTATAAGTTTGGAGCCACCCCCTCTGACATGGAGAAACATGAGAAACCAGAAGGATTCACAAGAAAGTTTCCTGACTCTTTGAAATGGCCTCAAAACAAACCAATGGTGAGCTGGAGTCGGTGTGGTCATGAGCGTGGAAAGATGGTTCACAACATTGCGCCCTGGCCACACATGGTGCTACCAAACCTGCGGGTGTTGTTTGCTTTGGTCTCCCGCAGGTGAAAATAGATCGACCGAACGAAATGTCATTTTTGAATGGAATCCGTATGTCACAAGGGTACGGTTTGCCAAAAGATGCCAAACATGTTTGTGGTGGAAGAGCTAAACAGCTAAACGATAACACATGATAACACCCTTTGTCCCGCGCCAGGTGTTCCTCCGACAACTTGCTGCGCTGGCCACGCTCATTGTTGTACGCCATTCGCCACCTGGATTGGACCGGCCGGAAAGCAGCCAGTCGCGCTGTGAGGATGCTCCTGGCTGCCAACCAAGTAATTGTTGGGGATTAGATGGGGTTAAGGAAAAGATGGTGAGCATTTAGTAGCTCTACTGTTTGGCTGCTTTGCGGTAGTGTAATTAACTAAATTAGATATATATGATATATTTATATATAAATATATATAATTGGTCAAAAGATATCAGAAGTTGTTGCCCTCAAAGAGTGCTTGTCTCGAATTTGCGGCAGTCAAGTTTTTTGTTACGTGAAACATCCAATTTGATGTATAGTAGTGTGCTGCTGGACTCGAACCCGTTTCTCGAAGCTTTCGGCAGAAACTGAAAGCCTAAAGATAAAGTTTGTAAACTGTGGGGTTTTTGCAAGTGTTGTTTCTTCTGGCGGGGGCAAAGCCGTTCTCCATAAAGCTAATTTGAGATCCACCACCATTTTGGCCTTGCAAGCAGAAAGGACAAGGCCAAAGCACAAAAGCCTGTTGTCGGAGGCTTGTGCATGTTTGGACCATTCCCAGGTTTCCCAGGTGGTGGGGGGTGTGGAAGTAGTTTGCCGCCCCCTTGGACCTTTGAGGAAACCATTATGGGGATCAGGAGTGCATGGTCCAATGAATTGTTTTGGGTGATGCGCGTGATTCTAGTCCAAGTTCTGTATCCTGCAGCACTTGCCATATTTAGTCACTTCGCACATTTTGATTGATTGCATTCTATGAACCTACAATATCTACAACCTACAATCGATCTATAATCTATATAGCTTCATGTCGGCCAAGACCGGAACCACAATCCCTTGGCGTTCCCAAACTAACCCGCATGCAACATGTGGAGGCATTCTCCGTGCTTGCAAAGCGTTTGCAGTCAGTCTAACGTGCGCCCATTTGCAAGAGCAACTGCAGAAGGGCGCAAATGGCATGAACAGGGGAAACCCTCAGTTCCAGCTCAAAAGAATACCAGACCCTTAACATAGAGCTTCCGTGTGGATCCAGAACGGTCTACTGTCGCTCTGTGGAACGCCCGGGCCCATGCGGGCGGCCCCACGAGGTTCTGGCAGCTCCGGCGCTGGCTCCGGCGCTTGGCCGGCAAGGTGCCCTTTGCCACAGGACCCAAGGCTCGGTAGTGGCTCGTGATGCAGGGCATAACCTGAGCCTCGCAGTCGCATAACCTGCCTCAGAGATTGTTAAAACCAAGCAAGGTCAAAGCGGCAAGATTGCTCCAAGAAGTTGGAATCGGGGGCACAGTAACGAACAAGTTTTGACGGTTGAATGGGTGGATTGGTCCACGTTTGCATACAGCAGTGCAGGTGCGGCTGAGGTCCAATAGGGAGTTCTTTGCTGCCTTTTTGGACCAGAATTGATAGTAATTCTGGTAGATCGTCCGAACCAAAGAGGAATTGTTCAAGAGGCTCAATGGCTACATGTCTAGAGGACGAGGGACGCGCGATGTGGGATCGGTGAGGCCAAGATGCGGGAAGAGCTGCGGATGGCTCGCAGGCGGGATCGGTGAGAAGAAGTAGTTCCTGTCAGCTCTAGAGAGCCACCTGGTACTCTCCCCAACTCAAAGGTATCCCCCTAAAGATCCCTAAAGTGGATGTGTTTTTGGACAACGTTAGTGGACAGATGCTGAAAGGACACACGTGGTGCGTGTGAGGAGGACATGTTAGCAACAGTCTGCAGGGGAAAACGTGTTGCAAATCCTCCAACATGGAAACGGCCATGTTAATTGATGCCGGAGAACATTGACAAGTTTCATGACTCTGAAATGGCAGTTTCGTGGTGTTTGCAAGGATACCTGTTTGCCAAGATACATGCCTATGCGATTGAAAACCTATTAAGAATCAGATTCAACACCTTCCCAAAATCTATTTGTCTCTGAATGTGTGCATATATTTTCATGGCTAATATCCCTCAAAGAAGTAAGATGTTGGAAGCTCTACACTTCAGATGGTTGGGTTTTGAATAACAATTGTTCACATGCACCAGAAGCATGGCTATCATGGGTCTCACTGACTGTATCCATTTGGGATGTGCAAAGATTGGTTTGGCATGTGTAAAGACTCACAGTCCTCCAAAATAGGCATTGAGTCTTCCAGAACGGCAAAGTTCCTAGTCGCCAGGACTAACATAGCCCCCTAAAATGGTCACGTGGTTGACCAAAATTGCAATATTCATGGTTGCCCCAGGCCAGGTCAGCAGTGTTTTTGGACCTTTTCTTGAAGCTACCGCAAAGCAATAGTTACATGCAATTCCCCAGGAAATACCGGAGAGGTTTTGGACATGTTAGTTTGGGTCCTCACTGCTGCTAGAGGTACGTTTGATTTGGGGAGTGTAAATTATGTACCTTGAGGAGGAACCATGAGCTAAGATAGTTGAAGGATGGGCGAATGGACTAGACCTGTTGCAGCCTGAACTGGAAGTATGGTACAAGAAGCTTGATTTGGGGTAGTCCCGATGTCACCCGAATAAGCAACTCAGGTGCACAAGCTCAGTCGCTTGGGGTTAAAAGTGGTTGGAACCTTCATCGTGGAGTGGAGCAACCAGGAAGTCCAATCTCCCAGAGAAGAGAAGCCGGACATACTGGAGCTCTCATATTTTGACCTCAGTTTGGTTTTCTGGCCCAAGGCGCCCTTGAGCGCGGGCGGGTCGGGTGCAGGAAGTGCCGAGACTACAGTAGCTTCCAAAGCATTGGGGAGAAGCTGGACAAGCTTGAGGGCAAGGACAAATGGAAGCGTCCGGGCCTCAAGCGCTGTGCTTTTTCGGGGGTTCTTTTGTGGAAGAAAATGTCCTTGGTGCATGTCCGGTGTGCTGATGTTGATCATGTTGTTGTTTTGCCGGTGGGACTGGCCTCCATCATGGCTCTTGTTCGGAGGTCGAAATGATAGCACGGCCCGTCTTGCGGTCGGTAATGGTGCGATGCTGGTGCTGGTGAAAGCAGACCACCTGCATGAAATTGAGAGTGAACACCCTTAGCCTTTATTGTTTCACTAGTTGTGTTGACTAGCTGAACACGGTTCACGAAAACTAACAGATTGCTAGCAAGTATGCAACATGCCCTCTCAAAACTCTTGGCTCAATTGCCAAGTACTTAGTGGTTGATACACCATTAATACCAGCGGTTTGGACCTTGCCTTGACTGAGACGGGTACAGTATAAGAAATACTATGACTATGACAGATTCATAGAAAAAGAGATGAACAGACTGGCCACGGCGCCACGGCCTGGCTCAAGTGGCCCCCGACCTTGGGCAGGTGATGACAATTCGCCTCTCTTTGATTCTGAGCGCTTGAGTGCCCTGGCAAGACATGAAAGAAATCCTGGGCCCAAACTCTATGTGTCGGAACACGGATACGTGCTGTTTACAGCAGGAAATTCATTTTGCACCGTGAGTCAGTCCCTTTCCTGGCGCAGAACCGAGGAGAACGGACAAAGCGATACCAGGAGATGATGGCCTGGCTGGCAATGTTCACGTGCAGATCGCAGGAGGTGCGTATTCACATCCGTCCTTTGTATGACAGGCTGCGAAAGACGTGGATGCTTGCATGTATGCCTTCACCTCAGTCGTCTCGAGTCTCGAGTCTCAGGCAATGTTCAGTACTTGAGACGGGTCAGTGCTTGCCTTGAGCCACCAGTCTTAGGCACCTCCCATCGCTGGAAACCACTCTTCCGTGGCCCTAAGCTTTGACTGCCACCTCGGTCCAACATTCCAACCCTACCTGGGCCCAACTTAAAGTTCCGAACTTCCAAATCGCTGTAAGACGTTTAAACTTAACAGTGTATATAGTTAAACTTAAAGTGTATATATATATATATATAGAGAGAGAGTTAATATAATGCCCGACAGGTTGGCCATCAACGCCTGGCTTTTGTTGCAGCTATCGTTCTTTTAGGGTTGATTCAGTCAGCTCTTGGGAAACCCAGACAACTCACCCCGCGTGGCGAGCCGCCGTTGGGGCTGAAAGGCCTTGCGTGGCGAGCTGCTCCGAAAGCACTTCGGCATTTGTAACCCTGCACTGTTCCAGGCGCGCTCTCGGCTCAGGACGTTTGTTTTTTGTTCTATTGTTTTTTTTTTTATCGGGGAGATCCCTGGATCTCATTGGTTGAAAACGGGCATCATAAAAGAATGGATGAGGATGCACATGCAAGACATGTTCTGATGAATGAACCAAAAAAAAAGAAAGTGTGATTCCAACATTCTTGCGTGGCCGGTGTCACCTCCAGTGACACCAGCGGGTAAGACAAGTTCTTCAACCCCCCCAGGTTCGAAGCCGCGGCTTTGGACATTCATAGTTCCTCCTTCCATAGTGACTGGGATCATTTAGGATATCGTTCGGGCTTCGCCAAGGGAGCATGGATCGTCAAGGGCAAGGCCTACTTTTCACAAACATGAAATCACTCTGATAATGACAATCATGATATGACAACGTTTTGAGTGGTCCAGAGCCAACAGAGAAGCTTGGACCAGACATGCATGTTTTCACATGTGTTGAATTGAAAGACATATCAATGAGCAACCGCTTTTATTTAGGCTTCACTAAATCAGTGTATTGAGTTTAGTACCAAATAAATGCCGCACATATGAAGACACATTTTCCCAGCATTCTGATGGACCAAAACGTCTCCCAACTGGCCGGATGGGCGACACAACACCGTCCTATGTCCGAAGTCTATATATCAGTTCGGACAGGTGTGCAACACGGGCACCAAGACCATGATTGAGAATTATGTGGCAACTGTTTGTGAGGTAGGCGTTTTGCATTCGGATGTGTTGCGGGGTCAGCGGTTCGGACTCCCCCCCAAGGCGGAGGTTGTGAGGGACCAGACCTAATTACCAAGTCAGTGGAAAACCCTTAACCTTGTTGGTTCTTTTCAGGATGATTTGTGTTGTCCACCTAGACAATAACAGGTGAAAACAGATTATTATGTTTTCTTTCAATTGTTAAGCTAGATTTTCAAGTGACACTGAGGGGTTCAGCAAAAGTCCTCATGTGGCGCCAGTCTATCACTTGAGAGGAACACTTTTGAACACTGAAGTCTTGCTATGGAGAGACAGGGCCTTCCAGAGACATAGGTTTCGGGGAAATGCAGCAGGGGCTGTTGTTTTGGGTAATGCTGTTCAGTTCCGATACAGAGTTTTGGAAGGGGGCCATCAACTTGCTTGCAAGCCTAGGTCGTCGGAGAAGCCAAGAGAGACTGCACCAAGAGTATCAAATAATTTTCCGACATGTTGTCCCATGTACATCCACCATCCTGCCCTTGTCTCCCCTTTTATCATCCACAAATTTACTTTCCGGCCGGCACTGGTTAAGCTCCACTGGCATGATCGACTCCCCAACTGGATGCTCTTGGCGAACTGGAAGCGTTTGTAAGAATGGAAACACAAGACGCCGGACGGAGAACTTGGATGAAGAACAGACAGAAGCCTTTTCGTCAAAGCCTTATCATATTTGGCGCTTCTTGGATCTGTATTATTTATATAAATAATATAGGAAGATTGCCCTCACAAGAGCTGTGGAACTGGGCATGTTTGTGGAGACTTGGTCGGGTTGGCTTTGCCAAGTTTGGCCCCGCAGCCACCTGGCTTCCCTGACTTTCTTCAAAATGCATACTACTGGAGAGCCCAAACTTCTAGTGAGTCGGAAGCTGGTTCAAACCTCATGCAGAATCATGGTGAATATATATAGATGTATAATGATATATATAGTATAGAATTATATGCTATTTTTCTGCTTCATAAATAGATAAATAAATATATATATATATATATACACAGATATAGTATATGTATAGGCTAGGTGTTAGATGTTGAATCCATCTAATCCATCTAATTCTTTCACTGCTCAGCTGGCCAAGACCCGCATGAGCCAACACCCCGAATTCCTCACCCAACATCGATCGACTGGATGGGCCAGGCCATGACCTGGGTGGGCTTCTCCTACAACGCCCCTGGCGTCCTGCACGACCCCGATACCAAGAAGGCCTCCCTGCAAACGGCGCTTGGGAAGGCTGAAGGCCTTTGGTAAAGACGCTTACTCCATCTTAATTGATATACCAGCATCTTCCAAGGGGTCAACAATGGACGCCCCTACACTATTTAATTAGGGAGCTCCTTTGGACACCCATTGGATGGTCCAGGTATATGTGTTCAGTGAAGCAATGTCCTTCAGAATTGGAGGAATCATGAGGAATCGGGTTTGGGCTTGAGTTCCGAATATGCTTGTTCCTGATTAACTTTGAATGTGCATTTCCTAAACATAGCCCAACAGCTTTAGGACAAGGCAAAAGAATTCGCACCTGTATCGATGTCCTGTATCTGTACAGTATGTATCTGTAGCGATTAGGTACCGACCGTATTTTTTGGCCGGTTGGGTGTTTTTTCTGCCTTTTTCTTGGGATCTTGGCAACTGACTTGTTTCGGTGCACCGCACAGGCAGATATTCAAGCACGCTTGGCTTTCTTCAACGAGTGGCCGCGCTCAGTATGGGAGCCAACAGACTGCTTAGAATTGCGTACAGAAGCCTAGGGCTCGAAGTATCTCCTCATAAAGGTTTTTATTGAACCCTAGAAAAACCCACCCCAAACACCTGCGAAACGATAGCACTTGGAGCCCTAGGGGAAAATTACATGCATGGAAGATTTGGAGGACTTGAATTGCAGCCACTGGCGGAGGGGGACGCACCGATAAACATGCCGAGACTGGCAAAGAAGCTTGGGCATTCAGTTGGATGAGAACAAGTAGATGATTAGTTTGAGGCCTTCTCCGTCTTGAGACAAAATGCTTCACCCAAGTCCTTTTCTCATCCCAAATGCTTCACCCAGGACGAAGCACGGCTTCGGGCGTTCGGCGCTGCTGTTGTCGGGCGGCGCGTCCGCCGGGAGGCCTCAGTTTTTTGGTGCAAGGCTGTAGTGCACGAAGCACAAAGTTATACATATCCCATCCATGTAGGGAAATGAGTCATATATGGATGGCCTGGGGAAATTTAAGCCATTTAAATAAACAAACATATAACTTAATCACGAAAGCTAGCTGTAGCTAGCTGGAGTTTGTCTTGCTTTAGCAAAGGGGGTGGGGGCCCGGGGCCTGAGTTGTTTTCCCCTATTTCTGGGGGTTCCCCCCCCCCCCCCCCCTCGCGGGGTTCAACGCCACCCTTCTCCTCCTCGGTACCTGCTGCTGCTGCTTGGTCGCTGCTGCTGCTGCTGGCATCTCATCTGCGCCTGGCTCTTGGCTGCTTGCTGGTTGCTGCTGCTTGCTGCTTGCATGCTTGGTGCTGCTGGATGCTCTTGGCTGCTTGCTGGTTGCTGCTGCTTGCTGCTTGCATGCTTGCTGCTGCTAGATGATACGCCTGGTTTGTGACTTCCCGTGATGCTCATGATGCTGCGTTGCTTTTCTTCAGTCCCTCATTACATATACATGACGATCCAACAGCAGATTCAACAAGCTCACATGTTCATGACATCGACATCGACAGAAGAAACCAAACAAATCATGCAAGCAGCTTTGTTTTGCCTCTGGGACACCTCTTGGGCACCTCTTATGGCATCCACACTGGTTCAACTCCTCCGTGGAGGTTTTGGGATACGGTGCAACAGATTCAACAAGCTCACAGGTTCGTGAACACATCGGATGCATCGAACAGTGTGGCAAAGTCCAGCCACGCTTCCTTAATTATCGGGGACTTCAATTCTAAGGTTGGCTGTGTCATTGCTGTTTGTGTGTTTTACATGTTCACAACGTTTTACCTCATGAGCATTTGCCTCACTCCGCTTGATGTCCCACCAGTCCGGATGCACCCCTGCTAGCTTTCGTCACCTACCCTCGGCCTCAAGTACTTTTTTTTCTCTAGGTGGACATGGGTCGCCAGAAACACACCCACCGACCTCCCCCATTTGGTCCATATATTCACACCGTCCTATAGGACTGCGACAGGACAGGAAGATCAATCACCGGGCCGCCGGGGGCAGCTGGCAGCTGGGATCCATGTGCTTGGTGCATACCTAGGTTGGGATGTACCACTTCGGAGTCGTCAAGGAGAAGCGCAAAATCGAGTGGTTGAAGAAGCGCTGGAGGGATCTGGAGGGGAAGATGGCAGGTCACTGCTGCCGAACGAAGGTTTCCAGACATGCACGTGCTTGGTCCACAAGCTCATGTAATAGTATAATAGTTGATGTTAGATACAGTAGTCAGTCAAGCCCCAGAAGCGCTGGTCCAGTCCGTGTCCTCGGATCGCTGACCGTCCACGGACCGTCCGGCAGCGAAGGATGGGATGTCACGCAGTGACCACTCCGCACCGAAACCGGTGCTGCAGGCTCTTCATTTGAATGGTCTACTCCCTCGAGTCATGAGTGGAACATCCGCTGGCTCCATCGTGTGGGGCATCCCAGTGCCGAAAGAGAGCAACTGGAGGCCACCGCTACTAGTAACAATAAAGGATTTTTGATATGGGATATCAATGGGATATCTTAAATTATCCACGCCCCCCTCTGAGTTATGGGTTGAAGCTTATCCTTCTATATGTTTGAAGCTTTCTAGTAACTAGAACTACTAGGTAGAGGCCATCGCTAGTAGGTTCCTTTTCTGAGCCCCGGGGCTCAGGGGCTCTTTCAGGAAGACGGGACTGACGGGCTTGCCCAAGAAGTTGGAAGTTGGTGATAGGGCCCAGGGGGATGGTCATGGGTCTTCTTGATATTCAGAAGGGTTCCAAACACATGCGCAGACAAGCTGATTTTTGACGCTCCCTGCCACTTGGTTTTTCCAATCAAGTGTGCCATCATACCAGCCAAACTGGGAACCAGCCACCAGTACATGCCTTCAGGGCTCAGGAATGTGCAACCCTGTGTTTCAACGTCCCAAGTTCACATGATGTTCAAGACGTCGGTATGGCAAAACCATGCCATGGGGGAATATCGGGGAATCGCTCAAATGGCTGAAATGTCCTGTGCCAAACTGCCAACTGCATGCTGCACTGTTTTCATGCATCTCTCACAGCTTGGGTTGACCAGGAGAGTGAGTGGGAGGATATGTTCTCGTCCGTTGCTATAGTTGCAGCTATAGTTGTCTACAGTCTCCATGGTGCGTTCACGGGTGCCTTTTCCTCGCTGCAACGGTCCGGTCCCCGCCGTCCGCCGTCCGAAGGTGTGGAATGCTTGGCGTGCGCACGGATGAGGCGAGTGCGGCGGGTCGTGGCAGCGATGGACGTTTCTCAATCCCTCAGACCTCGCCCTCTTGCGACGTGTGACTTTAGGAGAGGGGGAGGAATACCTCAGCTCAGTCAAAAGCCGGCGAGGTTGAGGAAATCGCAGCCAAGAGATGCAATTAGAACAAAAACCGAAATGGCAGATGAGATTGCCCCCTTGCTGACTATACCGCCACATTTGAACGAGTACTCCTGAATATTGGTGAGCACGCGGCATAAGACACGCTAGAAGGTGCCCCAGCAAGCGACAGCGGTGCGTCAGCTAATCAAAATTCATCAAACTTCCAAGGCCTTCCTGGAGTTGAGATTTGCTAGACAGCCTTGGCTGGAAATGAGAGGTCAAGAATCTGGAGATGACTTCCAACCGGTGCACTACTGTAGTGAAAAAATAACGACGAAGAAGGCAGCAAATGCAGACCATGAAGGAGCAAACCTCAACTAGAAAGACGGGCAGACGCTAAACTGTTCTTGACCCCGGTTCCCATGTACGCTTCAGGACTGGTGAATAGCACTTGGCTGTTCTGGCAGGCTTCTTTCTTGCCAGCACTTTAGACAGCTTCACAACAGCACCCAGCTGTCCACCTTCAGCTGTCCACAACATATCCTCAGACTCTGCTGCCCGGTTTTGTTGCTTAATGTTGCTTGAAGGATTTTCCACATGAGAGTGAAGACCGACATTGAGAGATAGAAAACATGCTTTGGGCTGAGCTCATGGTTCTGGTATCAAGCTTCACGGGATCCTGGGAAGACGTTGTCTCCATATGCTGACATCAAAGACCAAGAACAACAGAAAGGGAGCTTAGCCCTTTTGATTGAACACAGTCCTATATGAAAATTATGTGAATCGATTAATTGCGTTTCGCCTTTGATAGCTTCATAGAAATAGACAGCTTATTGGTTGCATGATTGGCTCATGGCTCCAAGTGCTGCGTGCACCCTGCTGCTCGCAGCAAACCGTTGGAGCTCCAACTGGAGCTCGTTGGAGGCCCGTGGCTCCACAGAGTCCGGAGATGAATCAATCACAAAGCGAAACCTACCTGTGGCCTTGCATGCCACGCCAGGAAGTGGTTCCATTCTCAACATCTTGAGATTGCGAGCGCCCTCCAATTGGTCGCTTCAGTGAACAGCTATTGTATTTTTACAAAGGCCTTTCCTCCATTGATGACTTTACATACGCGTGCTTCTGCTCGGCCAGCTTTGCAGATCGCCATGTCCTGTTTCTGTCATTCTGTTTGTGCTGAGAAAGCTACGAATAGCGCCGTTTATTCTGCCCGCTCTTTGATGAAGCACTCCCTTGCGACGTGATTCTTGGCTACCAATCAGGCAGCAAGCAATGCACAATGGCACTGTATGGAATATCGGGTAGTCCTGCCGCAAACTCATTTGCTGCTCGAAAGTAGGCCAAACGGCATCCAGTCGCCTCCTGACACTTTCATTGTCCTTTTCAGCTTATTCGATTGGTCTACCCATATTTGTGTAATCAACCTGTATTCATCCAGAAGCTTGGTTTTGCTTCTCTTCCCTTTTCTTGCTGTGCTCCGCCACATGACTCCTAGGGGAAAACATGTGAGCCCAAGCTCATTTAAATTTGTTTGGGCCATGCATGCTGCAAATCTACTGTTGGCTTGGCGTGGAATGGAAGGCGAGCAACTCCAAGCCACTGTGCCGTGCCCACGCTGCCGTACATTTGCTTTTGAAAGCTGCGCGGAAGCCACATGTGGGTGTGCATTTCGGGGAGACCTACTGGCCCCAATGTTTGGTCTTTCCTTCTTCCGGATATCCATGGGGGTCATTGGTCTTTGGGAGCTCCCCCTATTCTAATACACACCCATGTGTTAGTTCATGTTAATTCTAATTTGTTTGGTGCGGCGGATGCAGGAGCTGATGGAGATGTGGCAGGAGGGGTGAGAGAGGGGGAGGGAGAGAGAGAGAGAGTGCGCGGAGTGGGCAACGCTAAGCATGGCTGTTTCTGAAAGAGAATAAGTTCTGCCATGTCAGATGGTGAGATCCTACAAACTGCAGAACCTGAAATATCCGACACCTATATCTCTCGAAGATCCTGAAAGCAGATACCCTTTTTGCAAAGCAGTGTTTTTTGTTGAGGTGGGCTTTTCTTTGAAGTATGCACTCATGCTACAGCACTGTCAAAGTACATGACCTGTGCCTCGCAACTCTTCTATATATATATATATAACTTGATTGTTTGATGTTTCAAAGCAGTTCTACACATTTATCCAGGAGGATTTCTCCTGGTCAGACAACTTCATGTTGGACTTCTTTGGTGGGAAGGCGGGGGGGCGAAAGGACCAATCGAGATGTGCCGCGGAAGGCGTGGATGCCTGTGTCTTGGGGCGTCCAATGACCTGTCACATCCAGCTGGGGTTGAAAAACCTCCAGCTGGGTCGGACTAAACATCTATCATGAACAAAAGAGCTGCATTTGCATGCCTTTGCTTTTGGGTTGGGCCGCCTCTTAGAGACTTGCAGACCTTGATTGGGCCCCTCTCCAATTCAGATGACCTCGAGATTTACAGGTTTAGGCATATACTGTATATCCATCATCATCAGGTTTTGGATGATGTTTGAGGGTTTTCCGTTCAGCATGCATCAAACACAGCTTGGATGTGCCTTTGCCCCACTGACCGGCAGGGGGTCAGGGATCATCGAGCGTAAAAACTCTCATCCACTCATTCATGTAGAGCTATTACCCTTTCGGGAGAGACCAATTAGAGAGTGTTGTTTTCTCCCCCTTCTGGAAAGCAGACCCCCCAAAAAAGTACCAAAGAGAAACGAAACATACATTTCAGAGCTCCGAATCCTTCAGGACGTGCAGCGCTACGTGCGCACGGGGGAAGAGCTCTACTCCTCTGAGCACTTGGGACAAGTCTTGAGGCCAGGCTCAGTCGGATGGATGAAGGTCGTCAAGAAATCAATGGAGAAGGGCGCAGACAGGTCATGTAGGCAGTCGATGACAGTTGTTTAATATATAAAGCCCCCATATGAAGAGGTTTTACTACTCATTGTTTTTGGAATCGAATCAACAGTCTACATATGGGGTTATACAGGGTTTTAGTATTGCGACAAGCCTCGTGTGGGAGATATGCACTGATTTGGAGTAGTTGTGCCTATGGCTTCACATGTTGTTCCTGTGTTTCCAGGATATGGCATATGAATATATAACAAACAGGAAACGTGGGGTTGGCAAATTATCAAGTTATATATATATATATATATTTTTTTTTGAGGAAGCGTGAGGCTTTCACGAGTCATATGCAATGCAACTTTGCTATGCCTTTCTTATCAGCCGTTTTTTTCCTAAGCCCACATGTCGACGTTCCCCTCTTTTCCGAGAACCATGGCAGTCTTCGTTGACTGATCATCGCATGGGTCCTGTCGGAGTTCCAAGGACTCTGTATAAAACAGCGTGTGGAGTACCGAGGGCTGGCAAGCAATCCGGTCGCTAAGAGGGACTCGCTCACAAGAGGGACTCACTCGTTCCCATATTCGGGGAATGGATGAAAACACCGTGGATAACAGCTCTAACAGGTTTTGCAGGCGACGTGAGGCTCAGCATATTGCAGTTACCATGAAATTGATGTAGTCAATTGATGTGTCTGTAAGTGTTTCCTGACCAAATGCCTTCGGTATGTTTGTGTGATCATGTGGTCAAGCATGGTGAGTTTCTTACTTTGCATTGTTAGATCAGTAAACAAAACGTGTTGAACAAGTTTTGGTTTCATGCAGGCTAAGGCGGCTAAGGTACGTATTTGCCGTGATCGTTTTTGTCATAAGGCCAGGCACAGGTGTTTGATACTAGTTGTTCATCACAGCATTTATCTCACTATTAATTTAGTTCATTAATTATATAGTAATATTATATATAAATACGTTGATAAGACGCATGCTATGAGACTCTATCATGGCGGATGCTAGCAGCGGGCCTGTGTTTTCTCATTTTTGTCTATGATTGTTGAATCAGGCCCGGATCGAATAGACCGAACCGAACGACGGGAATCCATCCTATGTTTGGGACACACCTTCTGGGACGCATCACCGTTGTCGTGGCGTTCTAAGGCGTGCCTTTAGTTATGATTGTTCGCCACAAATGTCGGACTTTGCATAGTCCAAGATGGCTGCGCCGTAGGGACAACATCGGGGAGGACATCACCTTCCTCGAGGCGTTCGACCGCACTGGGAGGATCATCAACATCACAGTGAGTGGACTTCCAGGCAACACCAGGCACGCGTGGAGCCCGCGTGGTGGTCACACGTGGAGCGAACCTCTTCACGACGGTGGCGGTTTGCACCTGGAATGTGTTTTTTCTCCAACGGACTTGATGCAGAACTTTATGCGGTGGTGTAGTTGTGTTTGGTTGCATAGTGTAGTGGGGTCTTTGGAGAGCGCCCATGGCCCATTGGATGATATGTATACTTGTAGCCGCGAGCTAGACTGCACGCTATTTTGTTGAGTCAGGCCAAAGCACGGATTAGCATGAAGTGTGAAGAAAAAGACGATCTTGCTGAACACATCTGAAAACAATGTGAGGTACCCCATGCTTCTCAACTACCTCACCAGTCCGCACGTCCTGGCCTGGCACCTGGAAACTCGTCTGTTGACCCCCACGTGATTTGACGTCTGAAATCGACCAGGTGTTGCCAGGTCCAGCGGCTACGAAGCATACATGACGAATGGACCATGGAAACCGTCACCCCGTCCGCATGGCATTTCTAAGGACAATAGGACCTCCAAGAACAACGACCCGACCTTTTCCTGAAGTGGATACGAGAGACTAGTTGACCATCCGCAGATATGAGAGACTCAGCTGACATGGGGACTCTTTCATATTATCTCCCTAAGTGGAAGGGGTCGGACATGGCCGGACCAAGGGTGAAGAGGTTATTCTTCAATCCAGCTGGTACTTCTTCAGAGGTTTGGTCCGCGGCCCAATGCTCGGCGGCGGTGCCGGGGATCTTCACGCCACGAGCTGAGGGAGAGTAGGGAGAGTCAGGAAAAACAAACTGAAGCCTTGAAACCTGAGGCATTTGGTTAAGCAGATGGTATACCTGGTAGGGGCTGACTGTTTAGGATGCAAATTGGACTGTATCATGGAATGTTACGAAGACCAATGCCAAAACATAGATCTTGTGGCTCCCACCTGGGAGTTGAGGCGACTTCATTTTGTGTCTTGCGAGGTCGTATTGACCCTCCAGAATGATTGTGTGACAACGCCCGGGCACACACTAAATTTGCAGGACTTCACTTCAAGTTACAGTACTGTATATAGTTCATCAAGACGACAGTGAGTGGTTTGAGACCAGTTTGATGGTTGAATATGGTTGATGTTTGATAGGTTTCCCGTGTGCACCGAAGGCGGGCGGAACGAGTACGCGTTCATCCGGCTCGCCCAGGTCCAGGGAGCTTTTGATTAAGGATCGTCATGGGAACATCGCCCCTTACGTCTCAGGCGCTTTTCTTCGCTCCAGGCCTTCGTATCATGTGGAAAATGACAGGGTGTACATATATATATATATACACATACATTATATATATATATCTATACTGGGTGTATACTAGGGGTTGCTGGGATCGGGGCCCCCATCCAGGCAGGACGGAGGAAGCAGCATGCAAGTGTTTGCAGAACATGACAGGGGTTCACCAGGCCCTCACCTGGTGGGGAATCAATAGAAACAACGCATCCATCATCCGTCCAACGCATCCATCATATGTTGGTGACTGTTTGTTGGGAGGGCGAGGCTCTAGGTCGCTGCCACGTCAAAAAACAGCCAATGATGTGCATGAAAACCAGCATGCAATGAGGGTTATATCAAATAGATTCAATTAATTAGCAATATCATACGTATACCATATCACGTTAAAAACCATATTGAACTATTCTATGTACATATGTAGAGAGTTATGAGTTTGTAGCTGGTCCCGTGCCTATTTGTGTGTTGAGATCCTTAAGATTCGTGTTTGTTTACCCCCTCAAGCCTCAAGCCTTCCAATGTGACGTCGTGTGGTCGAGGCGGCTTGAAATGGCAAGATGGCTCGATGCAGTCGGCTTTGGCCCTCAGTACCTGAGAGGGGAAGCATTGGTGCAGGGGGTGCCCTGTACTGTGCCGAGAAGGTCTGAGAGGACACTCAAAGGTCCCTAAGTCTTGATCATTTGAGCAACCGCCAAAGCGTTCGATTACCAATTTTTACAAGTTGTTATAACTCTTATTAGTATATAACGAGCGGTCGTGGTTTTCAGACATGTCGCTCAAACCTGCCGAAGTGAACCTTGCTGAATCATATCCTCTTCATGTTTAACGGGTTCGATGTCTTCAAGGTCCATAGAAACAACGGTCAGGGGATGTGACCGGGATGTTCTGCTCTCATTTTTTGGAGCACTGGAAACTGTAGCGGGTTTGGAAGCCTAACTCCCTCCTCCTTTCGGCCACCTCGCTCGCTGAAACCGAGGATTTGCCCATGGCTCGCTTGTCCGAGCTTTTTAACGTCGCTCGTCGGCGGGTGGGCGGGTCGGATGGAGGTGATTTTGCGCCGGTTTTGCGAAGAGATGCGATGGAGAGGGGGGGTTGCGCCGGTTTGGCTTGCTTTTGCGCCGGTTGTACTTTTGCCAAGATTTTGCCTGGAACTCAAACCTTTTGACTCTTGAATTTGCACCCTCCCCTTTACTTTTCTCATTTAGCTTATGTTCATCCCTTTTGTTTTCTGGTGGCGGCAATCTATGCCGGTGCAACCTTTGCTGTTAAAGGATTACAATTGGAAAAACACCTGGCATGAACAAAGCCTTGTTTAATATTTTTCGTCAGCGGCTGCTCCCCTTTTCTAGAGGAAGGGGTTCCGTTTTCGCAGGGGATGGCGCTTCTTCCCTACTGACAGGTCATTTGACATGACATGAGAGTCCCAGGAGGAAAATAGATAGCTAAGAGTGCACAGCGAAGTGTGTCAGATAGGCATTCCCCCATTGTCCCTCAAAAGACTCTGAATGTGGAACAATGTTCAACATGTCTCATTTTCTTTGCAACACACCCTGAATATACTGTGCGTGCACATAAACAACAACATCAACAACAACAACAACAACAGAATCAGGGGTCCAAGGCAAAAACTGTGGAAACCATCAAAGACGAGGCATTTGTGACAGATAGAGAGAGAGAGAGAGTAGTTCATGACAGCAGATCGAGTGCCCTGGCCACCGTTTTATTGGCACAAACGACGAGCCGCTCTTGTCCATCATCGATGCGACCGGTTTTTGACCTGACACGAGCGGCTATCTGCAAAGCTGCAAGCTTCTACACAAGCTTCGACACACTTTTTCCCGAGCTGCCGACACAGCAGCCACATTCGATGAAGAGCACACGGTTTCGTCAAGAAAGAAATAGTTTGCAGGCAATCCGTCTTTCAACTGCTTGTCATGAAAAGGAATCCACAGCAAAGAAACTTGTTCATTTATTTTGCGAAGACGAGCGATCAAGTCGCCAGCAAAGGGAAAAAACCTTCACCAAAATGACCCAATCCGAGAAAATCAGCACATGTTTGGAGCGAACAAGTTCCTGGCTGTCGGCTGTCGGTGACCTGCACCTTGCGTCCGACATCAAAGCTTCAACTTCAGCCCTATATATAAGCGCTCTGATCCTCACCCTTGAGTCCGGCACAAAAAGACGTATCACGACCGATGGGACGAACATGCTCTACGAAGCATCCGTAGCACATGGGACCGATCTTTCTTCTGAGGGCCCAGCCCAGCATAGCACGAAGCGTCGCCTCAAGGTCCGGCGGACAGTGGCACAACTCTTGGGGCGGCGCAGCAAGTTCCGGAAGGATTGGAAAAAAGACGCTCCTTTTCATGGTGCTGCAGTAGAGG